CAAAACAACTGGTGATTGCTGGCCACAAGAGAAGAATGTAACTTTATTGCTGTATGATCACAATCACCCAAGACCTCCTCCCCCAGAACAAGGGGTGAATATACAACATATTGACCTCATCTCTTAATGTCAAGTATCTTTTTTTATGTGATATATTTCTTCAAGATGGCTCTCTACAGCTTCTAATCCTTTATAGCTCTTGGCAATATTTTTTTTTACCATCCCTCCTATTCCCTATTCTGCTGTCCTTTAGAGAAGCTTGTTAGGTAGGTTACTCACTGTGTTACTTTGTCCATCATGCCTTTTGTATTTCCTGTGAGTGTCAAATTCTCCTAGTACTCTTTCTTCATTATGTGTCCTAATAATTTCAGCTGTCTTAACAGCTGATAAAAATAAAATATATAAACAAAAATAAAAAGAATTAAAATTAAAATAAGGCATTTGCACTTTCCTTTAAAACCCTTATCACTTTCTTTCTCCCTCTCAACTTCTCTCTATATACTTCTCTCTCAACTAATGAGAAGGCAACCCTTAAATAAAAAGAGGAAGAAGAAGAAAAGACTGAACCTGGCCAAAAATCACCAGAAGTTTGTAGGATCAGAGCCTACTTATTTGTGACTAAAAAATACCAAAAATCAAGGAGGTTCCATACATAACTTAAAAAAACGAAAAAGAAGGGAATGCTGGAAAATAAAATAATTTTGACCAATCAAAATAATTGACACAAAGAAACTTTTGATGTTAGTTGAAACCAATGTTTGCACCATACTCTCAGAGCCTGGTCGAAAAGATATAAGCTAACACTTCTGAGCTAGAACAAGGAAGACGGCAAGAGAGGACAGAACAAAAGAATACTACTGTGATGAAACGAGCCATGTGTGATGAGTAATGTAGTCAAGAGGTCATCTGCTAATGATATTTCTGCCCTGCTTCAAACCAAGAAAAACAGTAGATTGACACTGACCTAATTTCTAATATTATTACTGTCCCTATCATGGTCTGACTTCAAAACCACCTCCCGACTTTCTCCAAGCAACATATGCCTATAAACGAACATTTTGCTACATCAGATATCAAAGGACTCCCTCATCATTCTAAAGAAAATAAATATTGCTTATTTTATACCCTTGAGTCAGTTTCTTTTTTTCCAAAATTTCCAGTAAAGAAATTCCTACTACTCATCCACACTGGTGACCTCTTGACGTGAACACACTTATCCACAAACTAAACAAGTTCACATGTAATAAAACCAACAAAACTCTAAATTCATATTTAAATAAATAAATATTTAGATGAATTCAACCCATGATGAGCCATAGTCTTTCCATAGATTATAGTTCTACCTTTATTCACTCTTCAGCCATATATTAGGTGCATTTCAATATTAACAATAAAAATGAAGGTAAGATCTAAATAGATTAGTGTATAAAAAATATTTTACAGTTTTAGACTATATCAGAATACCTTTTTGTTTTTGTTTAGTGTCACCAGTGATGGCCCTAGGATTGCTGGCACCCCTGGCAAGCTGAATTTCAGCACCATTAAAAGTACGATTTTTTAAAATATTTTTTGTTTTAGGGGGTAAAACAATTTTTCATTTGTTAAGTTGCTTGATACTTGATGAAGCCTCTCACTAATTTCTCATTTACTCATATATAGCCACTTTTCTACCCACAATTCCATGTTTTTTTTTTCACCAACCATTATAATTACAGGTAAGGCAGGTAGCATCCATTACAACACAATTCTTTTACAATTTTCACAATGAGAAAAAAATGAAAAACGAGTTTATTACAATATACAACATAATATATGCCAAAGAAATCATTCATTATCTGAACTAAATAAATTTTTTCTAGCCTTTAGAACTGCAAATCTTTTCATGGTACTTTCTACACCTATCTTCTTTACAAGATCATTTTCTATTGACAAAATAGCCAAAGAATTTAATCTGTCTTGAGTCATGGATGACCACATATGTTTTCATAAGCTTTAGTTTGGAAGAGCCAAACACATGGTATTGTGGCATGATGCACCCTGGGCAGATGCTCCAGTGCCAGTACCTTGAGCCAACCCTGGGTGTCACCATATAAAATTAGACATTTTGCAATCCATTGTACATGTAGTGTAACAGCATTGGAAGTCGAATTGGTAAACAGAGTTCAAATTCCAGCCTAGTCTGTTGTGTTCGCTTTTGCACAAATTTCTTTTGGAAAGGCATGAATCCATATCTTCTCCCTGTAACCAGCCACGGATTCAAAAATTTTAATTTTTTAATTGGTATCACCCCATGCAAGGTAGTAAAGCCACTAAGACACAAAGGGTAACAGGGTGTAGAAGAATTAAGAACAGAAACATTAATAATGAACAGGAAGAGGGAAGAGTAATCAGGAGGACAGTAGGTAGTGATTGACATTGCATTTAAACTTTTGCAGATTAAAGTTGGCTAGAAAGCATGGAGCCAGATGGGAGTTTCACAAGTGAGAAATGTGAGAGAAGAAACTGTTAGCATAGAATTTATGGCTACTTCTAGTCAGGTCAACTGTCTGCATTTAAATTCAAAAAGTCTAGGTACCACAGCAAATAGTTCATCTGAACAATTACCATAAAAATATTTGTAGAAAAGATATAGAGGCAACCTTACAGTGTTGGGAAAATGACTGACACTGAGCCGTCAGATCAGGATCCTTAATATTGTTGATTTTCTTTGGATGTTATCAAGGAGCTCAAGGTAAATAGTAGAGGCACTGGGCCTTCTATGACAGAAATATTGTAAGCAAGTTTAAGCAATATTCTAATAGTGTTCCCTTATGGCTGAGATGATTATCTATTTTTTACTGATGTCAGTAGTCTGTGTTTAAGCCTGGGCTTGAATCTTGCCCCTGCCCTGCCTTGGAGATAATTGGAATTTTAAAAGTTGATTTTCAAGAAATTCTTCTCTCTTGAAAGATTGGTTCTATACAATTTTATTTACCCTGTAAGAATACAGAAAACACTTATCTCCTGTTGGTGAAGATAAGTCACATGGTCATGTGATGACTGCTTAAATGACATCACTCCATACAGTGATGCAAATTGCCAGTCAATTTCAGTTCATTTACAGTAACCAAACAGTAAGGTTGCTTTCTTTAGCTCAGGCTTCCCATGGTCCAGTGAGAGGCTAAATCTACTTTCCCAGCAGCTTACAAGCTTACAAGTGCCATTTCCTTTTGGAAATATATCTTTCCCAGATATAGAATGAAACTAGCTCACAGTCCTCAATTTGGGAAAACCTCACACTCATTGTTTCCCATTCATGGAATATGTCCTTGCCTGGGACATAGACTAATCTGGTCCATTTGAATCTGGAGTCCTAAAAATGGCTTCTCCTGACACAGGAGTATCTCCATATTTTATGCAAGATCCTTCCTTTTTCTTTCTTTTTTTTCTCTTCTTTGCTGTGTAGATATATGTGATATATTATTCTCCATGTGGGACATTAGTTTTGTATATGTCTTAGGAATATAAAACTCTGAGAACAAAGCATGTTTGTCATTCTTTTTCCATTCAGCCATTCTGTTCCATCCCATCCATTAACTACTATTAGTGTTAGTATATCATGGATATGATAAAGTCCATAATGAGGGGAATTCAAATGGGAAGAATAAATCTTTCTTCGAAGTTTTATTACAATCCTAGCACTGCCTAAAATTTGGCTTTGTCTTAGACTAAGTAAAGTTTAATAAATTTCTCTAGAACATGAGATAAATTACTTTAGTCTTATCTTAAAACATTATTCAGAAACTGATATGGGTGCCATATTATTGTGTAATCGCTAACAAGCTATGGATTATTACTACTGAGTAATGAGTTTGATCCACAATGATTAGCCCATACTTATATCTCTCGTACCAAAACTAAATAACATTTTGGTCTATATTTATGAGATGAGATATTGTAACTATTTACACTATTCATAGTGTATGGACTGTTGTCCTCAACTTTATCGCCATATTCACAATGTTTCGACTGTTGTATGCTCTGGTCTTCTTCAGGTGATATACATTGGAATTTCAATCCAAACTTTTTATTTAGTCCATGGAGGTAGATTGTTCTAATTTCACGTACCATACCTTATAAACTAAAGGGAATTAACTGAAACTGACATATCCAAATATAGCATGGCACATGGAATTAGAACAATCTACTCCCATAGACTATATAAAGAGTTCAGTTTGAAATTCCAATGTATATCACCTGAAGGAGGCCAGAGTGTACAATCGCCAAAACATTAGGAATATAGCAATAAAAATGAGGACCACAGTTTGAACGATGCAAATAATGTAAATATTAAACAACATTTAGTAAATAACTAAGAAGTTGATATAATTAAAATATTTACTATCTAGAGAAAAAAGGTGGATGTTTGGTATATACTGACCCCACTGTAACAGAGGTTGCTGGGGGCTGTTTTGCTATTTTGCAGTTGATGATGGCACTGGATTTGATGTCTGTACAGCACCCATATAGAAATGACCTTGTGTCACATCCTACCACTGTGGGGAATAGGTAAATAGCTTCATTATCCAGAGAAAACAGTAATGATACTTGTAAACAAAATATATTATATCCTAGTGGATAAAAAATAAAAATCAAGATGGTTGTTTCAAATGTTTTTAGGATTTTGGATTGAAAAGATAATGATAACTGATATTTCAACTTAAATCCGAAATAAAAAATTAATCGTTATACAATGACTAAAGTAAAATTATTATCGACAATGACCTTAATTTGAAGAGTTATGGTGAATTGCATCATATTGAGAAAAATAGTATTGCATTAGAGTTGTGCAATAATGATAAATCTGCGAGTTATCTGCTCTTGGGTAATTCTCTAAACTGAGGATAAAAAGTTTGTTCAACCCAACAGGCAGCATTTTCTGTCCATCTTTTGAGTGGCCTAAGGTCAAATAAAGATTCTTGTACTCGATTCACTGTTCATTTCATCCTAAGCGATTCATAATGGCTGTACGTACGCAATTTGAAGGGAATAATGAAATTGGAGTATTTTCTAAGCTAACGAATTCATTCTGCCTTGTTGCTATTGGGGGATCGGAAAACTTCTACAGGTATGGACGAACAATATTCACTTTGACTTGTCCTTTTTTTCAGCACGACAGCTACAGAAATGAATTTTTTTTACAGTTATAAGAGCATCATATCATCAATAATAAGAGGTTAACATCACCAAATTATAGTTGTGTTTAATATTGGGCTTTAGAAATCACTTAAATTTTACTTCATTCAATTTATTGATAAAAATTGGTTCCGGTTTATGGCATTGGTTTTAATTTAAACTTTAAATTAAAACAATAAATACGAAAATAAAACAAAATATTTAAATAACATCTGTGGTTTCTGTTTTAATATCAGACCAAAAATGGTTCGCTTATCGACTAAATGTCAATAAGCGAACCACGTTCATTTTTCAACTTCATTTTCATTAGAAATGTTGCGGTCGTCTAAATCTTTCTTTACTAAGAATTCTTCCTGGGGCTTTTCGGAATTATGTTCTTCCCATTTAGAAAGCTTTGACGACTTCCTGACATGCAAGATGATATTTAAATCAATTCTAAATCTGTAATTCATTTAAAAAAAAGTATTTAATTCATTTTCCGTTAAGTTCTGGTTGTTGAGTTAAGTCTTTTGAATCCAATCCAGATTTCTTAGTGTTTTTCCAGGTTCGGATCAGACAGTTTGGTAAAGAAACCAATTGAAAAAATACTTGACATTAATCACGATCTGATCTCGAGTGTTAGATTTCGTAATACTTTTGATCGATTACTACGAAAAATGTTTTTAAAATAATCTTTAAGTAAAATTTGTGAAATCGTGTTAAAAATAAGAATTTTCTAAAAGTTAAAAACTTTAAAACCGATGATGTCGGTTTGTAAGTTTGCCGTTTTCACTAGAAATCTTTCCTCGTATTATTCTTTTTAATCATTACATTTATTAAAAAAAAATTATGTTTTGGATCCTTACGTTGGAAACTTTTCATTTTTCTATCTCGAATTTTGAATTTTTAAATCGAATTTTCTAAATGTTTATATTGTTTACACACCTACAAAACAAAAAACAAAAAACAGTTCGTCATGGCGGAGACATGATACCACGTGGCCTTTTTAAACATAATTTCTAATAAAATCTTACAAATTAAAAGAATGAACATCATTGACTAATTTAGATTTATTATGAAAATATAGAAATCATTAAAAGAAAAAAATCTTTATTTCATCTTTTCACTTTTTTACGACAAAGCTTGAATTTGCAAGACATTTTTAAGTTAAAGTTTTTTTTTTTTTTTTTTACTTGTCACCAAAGATGAATTGAAAGCAAAGCCATTTGTATGTTTCAATTTTTTAAAATTCTGTTGCTTACGTTTTTTTCAACATGAACATCATCAGAATAACCTTTAACGGAATGTTGGCAAAAAAAAACAAAAAACAAACAAAGCAATTTTTTTTTTTATCTCACATTTTATTCGGGCATTTCATATCAGTCATTATAATTTAATTTTATTTAATTATCTGTAGGACATGGCATTGATTGAAGTCGTCGCTTTTTTAAAAGTGTGTGGGAGGGAGAAACAATTTGTACATTTGATACTAATTGTTGACATCTAAAAACTTTTAAAAAGTGGTAGTAAATAAAAAAGGATGCTTGAAGTAAGAAATCATGAACAGTTTTTTTTTTTTTTTCTTTTTCAGTTAATTTGCGTTTTATTTATTCTAAATAGTAATCTTAAATTTTGAATTACAGTGTTTTAAAAAGTATTCACAACAGTCTTGTAAATAAAGTTTAAAACAGTGCACAGTTTTACACTGTTGCGAACACTTTAAAACTTCAAAATAAATATTTTGTGAGTTTTTGTTTGATTCTTCTGTTATTTGGTTTTTTTTTTTTTTTTTTTTTTTTTTTTTTTTTACCAATTAAACTAAAAATTTAAGTTTTTACTTAAAAACTCTGAAAATTCTTATTTTGTTTGGATCAAAAAAAGAAGCTTCTGGAGAAAACATCTTTCAAGGTGTATTTCCAATTTATTAGTTCCTTTCAAGTATATTTACATTTAAAATTTAAAAACATAATGAAAGAATTATTAGCTCTTCTTGTCACTTGTTTCCTTCAGATCAAATGTTTCTGTAATTGTTTGACAAATGACTTCTTGACTTGCTTGATACAAAAAAATGTTTTAGAGTGGATTTCTCATGGAAAGGGGAATGTCTTCACTTTTTCTGGCATTGTCTTCATTTTTCCATACATGCACTTTTAAATTGCAGTGGATTCATCTGATGCACATATCTGACTACTTGCCTTATTTCAGGCTTTGAATTCATAAAAACATAAACATCTGGCAAAAATTGAATCTCTTCTAACAAACAAAACATAATAAAAAGATTGAATATACTGATCCTCTAAAAATAAAATCATTTGCTTGAGATTGAGCCAATTAATTAATAATTAAAAATAGTGAAATAATAGTTGTGTTTCTTTCCTTAAATTTAAACATTTTTTATCTGTATGAATATCTCAAGAAATATAAAGACTGTGTTGAATAAAAACTTCTTTCTAACGGACATGAAAAACTCTTAAACTTTAATTAGGACACATTTTTTTAAAGTTTTCTCAAATATAGTCTTTGACTCTTTGATAACATTTATTTTTCTGTTTGGTTGTTGGTCTTGGTAATAAAAAATACAAATCTGCTGTATCTATTTTCAACATTGGAATTTAAATCTGTTTATTTACTACTTACACCTAAAAAAAAGAGATGCTTTCTTTAGGATTAAGAAAAATAATTTAAAAAAAAAAAGTTTATCAACCCATTGTGGTAAAAAAGTAAAACTAACTAAACGTAACTGAATAAATTCTGGGTTGTCTAAAAAGAAAAAGATAAGATTAAGAAGCATGTCCTGTGTATGTTTCATGCTTATTTTTTCAATTTCTTTTTAGATTGGCGTGTTTCTTTCATTTTTTTCTTATTTTTAAACAACATTGGAAATAAATGACTAATTGGTGTGGAAGCGTAAACTGAATTTACTGTAAAATTTAAGTCCTGTAAAAAAAAAAAAATCCATTACAAAAATAATATAAATAACAATACAATAGATTTGGATTGTTTTGCTTATTGTTTCGAGAAGCATTGAAATTGAAATATTTTCAAATTCTGTTCTACAAAGCAAAAAAGGAAAGACTGTAAAATTGTAAAAAAAAAAAAAAAAAAAAAAAAATTGACTCCGCCCAACGTAAAAAAAAAGCAAATGGACTGTGTAGTCACTAGTGTAACATTAATCAATTAATTTTAAAATAAATTACAAATTTCTACTAGAAAATAATATTTTTTATTTTATATTATATTTTTTTTTAATACTGTGAAACTGAGTCACTCAAAAAGTAATTATGAAAATCTAGTAATTGATTGATAATTCTTTATCCACAACAAAATAGTCAAAAAGTTCAAACAAAAAAAAAATGAAAAAATATAGCAAAACTTCGCTGTGGCATTTTGAAATTTAACTTCAATGCAAAAAGGAAAAAAAAAAAATTTTCTATTATTGTTAATTTGTTTTGTTATTAATGATTTTTGTGTAAATGTTTAAAATTAGGCAACTTTTAATAGGGAATTTAGTACCTTTTTTATTTTAATACATGAAAAATTTTCAACACTGAGTGTAACACATTTTTTCTTTAAATTTATTGTCATGAATAAAATTTTAAAATATTTTTTTATCCAATTTTGTTTTACTAGTTTAAGTTATTATTGCCATTTAGAAAAATTAAATTTATATAGCAAAAATTACTAATTAGACCTTGAAACAGTGTTGCAGATGTTCATAATTATTTTATCTTATTAGCCTTTGCTTTGAAGTCCTGTTGCGAATTCTGCTAAATAAAATCACTGTTGCGAATGCTGGTAATTATTTGTAATTAGCATTTGAAGCCCTGTTGCAAATACACTGCATGTATCTTCAATAGTTGTAATTGTTCTGTTAAATTTAAATGTTCTAATTTTAGATTTGCTGACATGAATACTTGTAATTTAAATTACAAAAATTTTTTATTCTATATTTTAAACCTGCTAGTAACCATCTTGATAAATTTGTTTTCTTTATTTTCATTATATCATCAATTGAAGGAATTTATGATGGCAGAATTTAGGTTGGGACACAAGAAAATATAATTAAAAAGAATTCTGTCAATATTTTGGTCACTTTTTGTAATTTTTATTTATAATTGTATGATTTGAAAACGTTAATTGGAATTTTCGTATCTGCTTCTTCTTTAGTTTACAATAGTTTAGTTTTCTTGCACAAAAAGAAATTTATTCTGTTCTGATTAATCATATAATTTTCTGTATATGCTTAGAATGTTAGAAAAGTTAAAGCGTCATTAATTTTTCTATCATTGCTCTCAGTCTCATATATAAAAATTTATATATCATTTTTTTCCTATATGCCTAAAATATTTAAAAAAAAAAAAAAAAAAAAATATCCAAAAGTAAAATATGAATTGCTTATCAAATATTGTACACTAACACCATCAAATCATATAAATAATCAAGGATGAAAAAATATTTAAAGCTGAAGAGTGAAGACATTATGAGGCAGTTGCTGAAAAGGTTTGGATTTAATGAAGAAATGCTTCCAAGGGAAGAAAAAAAAAGTTTGTTTTTTTTTTGTTTTTTTTTTTCCTTCCTATTTGGTCAGATTGTGAGAAGTAGATGATAACTTTTCAGTAATCACACTTCATAAAAACAGAAACAGAAATTAAAAGCAAACACATTTTAGGATGAATCACTGGTTCAAATTAAAAACTACAAGCTTTCTTGTAGTTATTTTTTTTTTTTTTTCTTTTTTTAATTGAAGAAATTGTTTTCTGTCAAGTGCAATTGACAATGTCTGCCACATTTAATGCATTTTTAAATAAATATTTATTTTCTGTTTATCAATTTGTCTTATTACAAGTTTATCTTTAGAAGAGAACAATATTTCTTGTTGATATGGAAGACATTTTCCTTGTCATTGTTATATGAACTAAAACTGATTTTATCACAAGAGCCTTATTCTTCTAAAGGAACAAAACTAAAAATATAACTTTTTCTCTCTCACACACACACACATATATATATATATATATATATATATATATATTGTCAAGAGTGTGAATGGTCACTTTCAGTTTCTGCCTGAAAGTGGCTAAAGTTGGGACACCTAGTTTGTAGCAATTTTTTTCTTGTGTAAGGAATGTTGCTTGTACTTAGAGTTGTAACTTGGCCAAGTGTTGATTCATTCAAGCTTTATTCTCAGCTTAGACGTGACTGATAAATATAATCGCCATTGTTTTATTTACCAACATTGGCTTCTCGTTTGTTTGTTTTTGTTTTTTAACCCCCCCACCTTTCCACATTTAAATTAACGCTTTAGATCCAAATTGTTTAGTGTTTTATATTTTACGTTGTTACTTATCTTGAATCTGTTCACTTGTCAGACATTAAAATCCAGTCTCGGTTCCTTTTTTTATAGGTCAGCTGAAACCTTTTTAACCTGCAAAAAAAAAAAAAATAAAAATCCTCTCTTTGTGGAGTATCAAAACTACAAAAAATATCCATTATGAAAATCTGATAATTCTAACAACAAAGTCTACCAAACATTTAAATATTAGCAAAGTTTTAACTCTTCATTTAATTATTGTAGATCTTGTGTTTGTATAAAATAATTTCTAATATTTTCTCTTCTCTTCAAATCATATTCCTATCCTCATTATTAGATTAAGTTTAAAAAAAAACAAGAAAGAATAGATGTCCTGCTCATTTTACTGTTGGAAGATAGCACTTTCACGTGAAAACAAGTGGAATTGGATCGGAGAGTATTCCATTTATCAAGAAACACACTGCATTAAATTGGACAATTTCATTTATTTATTGTTAATTTAAAACTTTACAATTAGGTGTGTGTGTGTGTATATATATATATATATATATATATCTCTATCAATCAAGTATGGATAGAAATACAACAAAATGATAGGATAAAGAACAAGTAGGAACCAAATCTTAATCTAATATGTTTCACTTTATTAAAGCTTCATCAAAGATCAAGATAGAAATGATAAAAAGTAGAGACACAGATTAATGATATGTTGTGTTTGGCTATTTCTTATTGGTTAGATACATGTCATGTGTAATGAAGTAACAGATAATATTTAAATATGTGTGGCAAACATTCTCGATGCTGATTAGTAATATGCGGTAAGATGTTTTCATTGGATATGTTTAAAAAAAACTACATTACATCCTCATTTTTCTACAGATCCATTACTTTTTAAACTTATCTCTTCTGAATACATATATACAAAATACACACAAAATATACTTTAATAAAAAATTTTTCAAAATATCCTGCAATATCTCACCAACCTTTACTGGTTACTAGTGCTGGTGTTAATAAAACCTGACAATTGTGCCAAAAACTGAGAGTTGTTACTTGTAAGTGTTGGGGGATGTATATTTATTATTAGTATGTATTTATTATTAGTATGTATTTATTATTAGTATGTATTTATTATTAGTATGTATATGTTTTTATTTGTGTATTTTGGCAGCAATCCCTCTTTTATACAAGTTTTATTAAAGACGACTGACAAGTGACTGTGATTTTTCTTTCATACAAGTATTTTCTTTTCTGGACAGAAAGTGTGTAAAAACTGCAAATGTTTTATATATCCGAACGCTTTTGGCTATTCTGTTACCCATTGTCATGGCTGCTTTTTTTTTTTTGTTTGTTTTTTTTTTTTTTTTAAACTTAATATGTAGAAAAGGCTAATAGAATGGCTGAAAGTGCTCAGGTATATAGAACATTTGGACAGTTTTTTTATACACTTTATATCCAGAAAAGAAAATACCTGTACACATACAAGAAAAATTGAATAAAAAGTTTATTCACAGACCTAATTGTCAATCATCTTTAATAAAACTTATATCTACTTTAAATCTTGGTATTTGTGTTATGATGATATCTTTTACAACATGACCTATATCCAGAAGTCTTCATTGGCTTAAATGTATCTATCATTTGTTAAATACATTAAAATGCCCTTTCCCAATCTGAAAAACTTACAGTGTGCGATGTCTAAATTACTCAAAAATGAAAATAATAGTAACCTCTCATTTTAACAGATATATTTACCAAAATTACATAAAAATATCTTAAAATACTAAAGAATAAATTTATTCAATAAAATTTCCATTGGCTTCAACCACGGCCTCCAGATGACTTTGGAAACTCTTGGAAACTCTTCTGGACAGTTTCCTTTTTTAAATTGGTGAATGCTGCCATAATCCTTGCCTTCAGTTCATCTTTGGTATTACAAGAAGTTTTATTGGTCTCTCACTCAACTGCGCCCCACACATAATAATCTAGGGAGTTGCAGTCTGGGGAGTTAGGTGGCCAGATATAAGGGGTGATATGGTTGCAGAAATTGCCTGACAGCCATGACTGGGTTCTCCTGCTTGTATGGCATGGTGCAGAGTTACCAGATATAGGTTCTTCCAGCAGCCACCCTCTTGACCCAGGGCAGCACTACCTCCTCAAAGCCCTTGATGTAGGCCTTTATGTTGATTCTGAGGCCCTGTGGGAAGATGAATGGAGGCATGATGTCGCCATCATGCATGATCGCTCCAAGCACCTTTTATAAGCACCATTTAAACTCATTCAGTTTGTTCTGAATCTTCTGCAGTGTTCTCAGATTCGCACCCAAACACTGAAATGTTTGTCTTGGAGCTTCCAGTATGAATGTCTAGCAGTACAGCATGCCATTTCTAAATTTCTGGGAGAATGAATTGCATCCTGTTGCTCTTTCTCTCACAGATAGTGCCCAACTGACCCTACTATACTCTGCAATTAACAAAATTAAAAATATAAAATGGTGACAATTTACTCATCGCACCCTGTATTTATTTTGGGGTTTCTTGATTGTGATGGCTTCAAGAATCTGAACTTTCTTTAACAATTGTATAGTATACATGTATTGTTTACAAGTATTTGCTGCATACCAATGGAAATATCTTTTCCTTGCAATCTATATTCATTAACATGATTACCAATGATACTTTAACTAGACAAATGGCAAGTTAATCTCCAAGGTAAAGTAATAGTTGTTTGTTTAATATATGAATTTGATATTTGTGCATCATTGAGGACAAAGTCTCTTAAAAGCAAAAACATTAATTGATATTATTTAATATCTTAAATTTGTAAAAGATGATTAAGATTTCTAGAATGTTTATTGTAAAATCAAGAAATCCCAAAGTAAATAAGATTTAGTTCGATTTGAGAATTGAGATTTTAAATGTATTTAACGACTGATTGCTACCTTTTAACCCAGTGAAGAACTTCATTTATCTATATCATCTTCTGTTCTAAATAAATAAAGGGCAAATTCTATCTGTCTAAAAACTAACTTGAGCCACACTTGCTTTACATAAACATATTATACCTTTTTGGAATCAGGATGATCCCGGGGTGGGAAATCTGCCTTTCATCTGGTGCTTGAACATCCAGCATTGGGATTTGTGTCTGGATGACGAGGGAACAGTCAAAAATTCAAATGTTAAAATAACTGAAAAAAATTAATGATTTTAAAAGTTTTTAATTTATATTGAGTTTAAAGTAACACAAAATCTTTTTGAATTTTTGTTTTAAAGTCAGTTTTAAATATCTCCAAAACTTAGTGAATTGAGGAAGTCAGTTTTATTTCTTAAAGTTAAAATGAAATGTTTCATGACATGAGCTTTTGAAGTTCCACAGATTTTGTGATTTGAAGAATTCGATTTTTGGCCTGAATTGGAATTTTGACCCAAATCTGTCTTTTGGACGGAATTGGACTTGTAGCTTGAATCAAAGTGAGGTTCCAAAGTTCCATGGAATAAATTGAGTAATTTAAAGTTATTTCTATAAAATTATCATTGCTATTTTCTAAGGTGAAACAGAGGTCCCTTTAGTTTTGGACCATAGGCTTCAACAAGAGCTAGCTTAAAAGTCAGCTTGGAGTGCGGCTTTTAAGCTAGTATTGTATAAATGGAAAATGCTGAATTTGCATTATTTAAAAATTTAAAATTTTTCTCTGATGATAATGACCCAGTGTTTGGCTGAAAGCATAGATCACAAATGTTATTTCATATTTATTTAATCAAAATATGTGAATGAAAAAGAAAAAGCTAACTAAAATATTTATATATTTTTGAGATTATAATATGCATAGCATATCTTAAGATGACCAAGCTGTTAGTTTGACATGAATTGGTTCCTTCGTACAATAATCTGCACTTGTTTTAAACTATTATTCCAAATTTTCATGCAATGTGTTAATTATGAAACCCAATGAAACAATAATTTTTTTTTTACACTCTTTAAATACAAATGTTTAATTAATAATAAAATTGATAATATTATTATTTCAACATTTTATATCATGAACTACTTTTAAAAGCAATGCAACGGATTTATGGGTAGTCTAGTTTGTATAATATAATTGTATTGGATAACAATATTGGTAATGTTGCATGCATTAAAATAAATGCATTTTCAATGCAGAATTTGCAGGATGCATTTGTGTAGAGAAAAAACACTTGTTAAAGATTACAATGATGTTAGTTTTGTAAACTCTTTTCAAAGAGGGTTTGATTTTTGTTTGTTTGTTTACTTTGAATTGAAAATGAAATCTTTAATTTTTTTGAAAATGAAATCCTTTAATTTTTTTTATTTTTTTTTATTTCATTTTTGCAGTGTCTTTGAAGGTGAATTATCAGACACAATTCCTGTGATCCATGCCTCCCTTGCTGGATGTCGTATCATTGGTCGTATGTGTCTTGGTGAGTTAAAATATTTTTCCTTCCTCTCTGTTGAATGTATTTTACCAAGTTCTAAGTTTATAATGGACATTAAATTGTTATAATAAAAAATCCTTATCAAGTTAAAAAAAAAAGATGCATGCAGTAGTTGTTTGACGTGTGCTGATAACCCTGCTATGAACCCACATGCTAATCCTTCCTCCGATATATCCTGCCAAATAGACCAGCTAGCTTCTTCAAGTCGGCTAGAAACACGTTGACGGACTCGTCTGGGTGCAGTTGGTGTTCCGTGAATTGCTTGTAAGCCAAGAAACAATCCGGTGCAAAGGCAATCTTCAGGGCTTGTTTTATCTGCTCAACATCTGATTTTTGTTCAGAGTTTAACTGCTGGTAAACAGCAAATGCTCCGACCGTCAACCTCAAAGGAAGAACACGTTCAGCCTTTTTAATTCCACACAGGTCACAAACAAGTTCTGCCTTCTCAATCAATTCAGTAACTGCTTGTCCGGTCACTGAACCATCAAACTCTGATATCAACTTGACGTCAAATGTCTTGTTCGTCATAGTACCGAAATAGCGATCTGGGATTCCAAAGGAAATGTTTGTCGCAGATTATTTCCACGTCATAGAGAATAAATCACTAAGTTCAGACTTGAACATGGGGGGCATGGGCAGAAAGAAATGCCGAAAACTTCATTCGCAGGTACTATCTCACAAATCACAATGCATGCAACCAGTCAGAAAAGTAACTCATTCTCCAACAAACGCGGTAGGCAAAATACCCGAATTTTGCTTCCCGATTTGAGAACACCAACTGCTTTTATCGGCCGAGCATTTTTTCTATTCGTTGACAGCTGGGAGAGGATTTTCAGTATTTTGCATATCAAAATACTTTTATAGCAACTCCTGCGACGGACTTGTTTTTTAATTCAAATATTCCATCTTCAGCATGTCATGCAGAATACGTGCCCTTTTGTTTGGTAAGTAATTTTCTGTCACAGAATACACGCGACGCACCGTCGCTTGGCTTGATGAGGTAAGTCACCGTTTTCTCCGCTATAGTTCACCATTCTTTTTAAAACTTGTAAACTCTCTTTGGAGCCAAAGACCCCCCAACAGCATTGCAAAAGGAAGCTGTGCAGTGTCTGTACCCCTGTAGTTTTTTGGGTTTTTTTTTTTTTTTTAGTGAAAAGTTTCTAGTGGCATGCCTAACCAGTTTGAATTCAAATTAGTCCTTATTGGTTGCTACCCAAAGTTTAAAGAGATCCATCTACCCTAGTATATTATACTTAAGAGCAATCAGTGCAAAGTAAACAAAGTGTCTTGACTGGATTTTGAACTTGGCTCATGTTTCATTTTTTTCTGCTGTTAACTGTTATGCCATCTCTATCTTCAACTTGATCAGTTTGAATAAATGAAATTTCACTATCAAATAATTTTGGTAAAATCTTCATAAATGTTTCTGTTGATTCACACTATTAAAAATTGTCTATATTTTCCTAAAGGAAATCAATTGTTTGGTTTTAATCATCAAAAGCAATAAATAATTTTATTTTAAAAAACCTTTTTTTTTTTTAATAAGTCCCTTGCTATCTAAATCTTATTTGATCTTTGGGATTTGTAAGTCTTATCAAAATAACCTTTTGATATCAAAAGGTGTTGCTTAACACATTTTAATTCCTTCCATTCTGATATCTTATTAGCAAATAAAATTTAAAATGATTTTTAGGCAGCCAGTCATTTGAGAGAACTACATGTTGATTAATTCCAGAAAGCGTTGTGTTCAAATCACTTATTTCTATCATTATAAATACATGGTGTCATTTGTTTCAGCAAATAAACATGGTATTTTAGTTCCGAATGCTACGACCGATCAAGAACTTCAACATATTCGCAACAGTTTGCCTGATTCAGTAAATGTTCAGCGAGTGGAGGAGAAATTATCAGCACTTGGCAATGTTGTGGCTTGTAATGACTATGTTGCCCTTGTCCATCCAGATCTTGACAGAGTGAGTAGTGTCACCATTCTGGTTGTTGTTGTTGTTCCTTTCAATAAACAGTTACTTGGCATTAAAAGATGAAAAGTATGAGATTTTCCAAAGCAAAAGAAAAATAATTTTTGGGTTCATATTATGACAGTATCATTTATTAAAAACATTCTTGAATCTCAAACCTGTTAGTGATCAGCTTCTGGATGCTGCCTCTTCTGTAGTTCAATGAAACTTTCAAATTACAATTACACTCATGTTTATCTGCTGTAAATCTTCTTTTTTTTTTTTTTTTTTCATGAAGTAAATGGGTTTTAACATAAAGTCAGAATTTTTAAAAAATCATTTTTTAAATTGTAGCAAAAAAACCAAATCACTCTTCAGTTGTAAAATCTGCAATTGTGTTCATTTTAAGATTTTACTGAATCCTTTTCACATTGAAAAGTGCAAAGTAAAGCAAAACTATTTGAAAGTGTTAAAAAAATGCAAAAAAGAGCAGCTTAATAAATGTAAACATCCTCAGAATATTAATTCTGTTGATTGAAAAGAATTTATGCTGCCAGTTGATATCTTTTGGTTCATGCCTTTCAAGAGGACATTAACATACATATGTAAGAATTATTCTAAATATGAAGCTGGGTCATTCGATTTAGCTGGAGGCTATGTCACTTTGCTTATTTCCCTTCATTTTTCTTTTATTTATAAAAAGAACCTCATTTGCTAGTTCCCCGTATAAAGAAAACCATATTTAATGGTTTTCGTTATACGGGGAACTACTTTGATGAGATTTCATTCTGATTTCACTTCATCTGAGAAAATTTTTACCCCCATTTGATATGACTGGCAGTTTACTGTATCTAATACTTGTTCTAGGTTTCACATATTTTGTTCAAAACTAGCCAGCGAGACAGTACAAGAATGAAGGCGAACCTCTCTGGTTGGTTTTCAACCTGAATTTTGTTTGATATTAACTTACATTTCATTCAGACCAAAACATTGACTCAGGCAAGACTCATACCTTTCTTCATTTGATATTCTTTGTTTGGTCTTACAGTATTTGAGGTGTCATTGTTTGTTGTTGTGTTTTTTCTCCTTAACTACCAAGGACCAATAAATGGTTGCTTAGCCATCTCACTGGTATTCAGAATAAGAGACTTTATAAAACCTATTAAAGTTGCAACTTGAGGCTATTTAAAAGTTGCAAACCTCTTAACTCTCCCCTCTCTCACACACACACACACACACACACACACACAGAGAGACACAGACACACTTACAGATTTTGGAAGGACTATTAGGGCCCCAAAAAGAAAGGTGGGGTTACAATCCTCTTCTCATTAGACACATCATTTGTCCTTTCCATGTTGAGTTTTCATTTCTATGTAGCAGCAACACCTATTTCTATTTTTTTTTTTAGGTTGGTGGTTATAGGGAGTTATTTATTGTCACTACACAGAAAAGCAACAACTAGAACTTGTTTACTGTCTTGGGTATGACGATAAACTCCATCTGGCAAAAAGGCCTCACACTGAGAGGTTTTGAGGAGTATGAAACCTAATTGTTGCTGTTCCCAAGTTCACCTTGACCTGTGGTGGTAACACCTGTTAGGGTCCAAGTTATGAGCAAATAGTTACCCCCCCCCCAAAAAAAAAAACTGGGGTCAAAACACTATGCAAGTATAAACATTTTTATAATAAAAAATACAAGCAATACATTTTCATAGTAAAAAAAAATTACCAGCAATACATTTTTGTAAATTTATATAAAACAAACAACTATTGCTTCCAAGAAAATTAAATTTCAGCATTAAATGACCCATAAGGTGTTGATATGCCATTAAACAAACAAACAAATAATAAATAAATAGAACTTCTATTTTTTTTTTTTTTAGGTTGGTGTTCATGAAGTGCTAGTTATTGTCACTACACAAAAAAGCAGCAACAAGAACTATTTTGTTAGTTTCTACTTTTTTATTGGCTGCTTTTTTAATCTTTTTTTTTTTTTCTTTTACCCAAAGGAAACAGAGGAAATTATTGCTGATGTATTAAAAGTTGAAGTATTTCGTCAAACAATCGCTGATAATGTTCTTGTCGGAAGTTATTGTGCCTTTAATAATCAAGGTGGACTGGTAAGTTTATTTTCAGCATTTGCCTTTTTGAACGATTTCTGACACCATGGTAACCATCTGTAAAATTAACTCATTTTGTTGATATTTTATGCAATATTTTCAGTTTATCAAATCAAACTTTCATGGCAACTGCTCTGTTGTTTTCCCTGGTGCCTCAACTACATGAATTTAATCGTTGCTACGAGATTAACATCTATGTTCCATTCGTTTACTGCTGAAATAGATAAATGCAAAAGCCACTTCTAATCCAATAGTTTCTTTTCTCGCACTTCTTGCCTGTGGAACTCCCTGTTATTCTGTATACTTAAGTATTGCCCAGCACAGGAATTGAACTCACAACCCCCAGTTAAAAGAAACTAATTTTTTTGTTGTTGGATTGGTCTCTCTCACCTGTTCTTTGTAATGGGTTCTTCGGTGGAGTTCAATATAAGCCCAAGGTATTTCTCCCAGTTCATTTACCCGGTGAATCCCTGACAGACCACTTCATCATTGCTAGCAGAGTTTACCCACCTTCAAAAATATTTTAATAATTTTGCAGTTGCATCAGTCATATTTTCCAAATGCATAAATAAAGGAATTTTATTTATGATTCACTCAATTGATTTTGAATCATTTAAAAAAAAAAAGAAGAAAAGAAAAAAAGTATGCAAAGAAATCTAATATGAAAGGAAAGACATAAAAAGCAATGCATAAGCAGCCTGATATCCCCAACTTACTAATGACACATTCCGTTGTAGTGGTATCACAAAACATATTCACTTACTTCAAGTAGTATATCATGTTACCAAAACAACGGTATGTCTAGTTAGTAGGTGGGGGTGACCAGGTTGTGTGATGAATAAATAAAATATCAAGTAGCCTCATTAATTTTTGTGCCTTCATAACACCCCCCAACCTTTGCTGAAACATATAAATACTCTTTGTTGCCTTTACTTCCTTCCCTGAGAACTACAATCTTCTATCATCTTGAATACCGTTCATCTTTTGTCCTTTCCTCAATCCTCCCTATACTCAGTCTTTTCTCTCACTTTCACTCCCTGTAAACCCCTGTGTACTAGTAGCATTCCCGCCTTACCTGGGATGAAATGATTTTAAAAAGAAAGAAGAAAAAAAAAAAAAAAGAAAGATTTATGGTCATCAAATATTGGCAAATTCTGATTTCTGTAAATTTTTTCTTTCCTCGATTTTTGCCCGATTTGCTTTTGTAATGAATTTACAATTGGGTAAAAAAAAAAAAAATGTTAAACTGTTATGAACATTTAATAATGAATTGAACTAAAATAATTTCTTCGTTGAACATTTAGAAAGAATTAAACAATATAAGACACTTATCAATAATAATTTCCCCCCCCAAAAATAGGCAAATAAAATTAACTTTAAAGAAATTTAGGTAATGCAAACAATGATCCTGATATAAACAAAAATAAAAACACCATCCATTTGTTCTACCATAATCAGATGCACTACCTTAGATTTCTCATTTATAAAAACATTAAAACATCTAAACTAATCAATGCCAATAACTTGAGACCTCCTCCTCCTCCCCCATGTAAAAACAATGTTATTTATGAATTCTCATGTCATTTAGGAGCTTGTATCACCAATATCAATAATCAAAAAATAACATTACATTCTTATAACAGCCACCCATACACCACACACTCTCACAGGTTGTCACTTATAAAAACCAAATGCAATTTGTATACGTCTTGATCATTACATTGCAAACAATCTAAATACAACTGTTAACCTTTACAACTCTGGACTAACTTTCCGAGTTGTGTTCCCTAGATCTACATTAACTTTTGAATGGTGGGCATATTTCTAGCACTGTAACTTTTAGGGTTTTACAGATATTGTTATAAAATTTTCAGAGTATGAAAGGATGGAGAGAATGTAGACATTTTTTTTTTTTTTTTTTTTTTTACTGTACATATAATAAATTTTGAGGGGGGGGGTTGTATTTTATTAAGAAGCTTACTTGTTAATTGAGTAATCTAAGCTCACAATCCACCTTGTAGTTGACCAAAGTATGATATCATTTACATGGGAACCTGACAGCACCAACACGCACACACATATTAGGTAGTTTGGTGTCTCTTTTTGGAGTGCACATCACACGGTTGGGCACAGAGGACTTCCCAGTGTTGATATGCCTGGGATTTATTGTGATGTAGCCATAACCAGCCTGTCTGGATTGTCATTAGGGTGCCACCTTCTTCAGTGAGAGCTCACAGTTGACTGATAACTTGAAGAAGTCTGTGCACAATCTTCAGGTGGAATTTCTCGGCCGTTGTTTGACTGAAGTGTAATGCCCTCCAAATCACCCAAAAATTACTAAAACAGCTTTCAAATAAGTTAAAAAAAAAAAAAGAAGCTTTCTTTCACCATTTCAGTGACTTGTACTCAGCAATAAAAAGTTAGCTGCTTGTCAAAGTGGTCAGTGCTTTTATTAAAGCGTCATCAGAGTATGAAATATGGAGGAGAAAAAGGAAATTCTGGTATTTTTAATTGTTTGTTTCTCATGGTTAAGCAGGCTTTACGTGTATCTGTCTTGTCAAGCAGCATTTATGTGTATAATTCATGTGTGTATGTGTATCATAATTCTAGTTTGTCTATGGGATTTGGATGATCATGTATATCCAAGTGTGTGTGTGTGTGGGGGGGATGTAGTAGACATTTTTATCCATATTTGGTGGTTGTCTGCATGTTGATTTGGTGATGTTTTGTGTGAGGGTAAAAGAATTTAAGTTACACTTGTTGCGGTTGTAGGTAGACAAATGTTAGATTCTTTCAATAAGTTGGTCATATAATGTTTGACTTGTGTTTATCAGTGGTAAAATATTTCTAATTAGGAATATAAAATGAAAGGGAATATATATATATATATATATATATATATATATATATATATATACACACACATCTTTTTATTTTTAGTTAAATGTAATAAACCTTTTTTGCCCACTCCATATTTGATTTACAATCTTTATTTGCAAATGTTTCTCCAAAGCGACATTATATTTTATTTTTTCTCAAGTGGTTCTTTAATTTGCAAATCACTTTGTTTACAAAAAGTGGTTTCATTTTACCCACTGTTTCACTTAGCCATGGTCAACCCCCAACGTATATTGGTCATAAATTTTAATCAATAATGGCATAGTGATGCTGTCAATGTACATATGTCAAAGAGAATCTGTAAAATGCTTCTTTTCAAGAGAAAATGAAAAATTCTTGATTTAATTATGAAAAAATTGGTAAATTTGGACCTTCATGCCTGCAAGGATTGTCATAACGACAGTTTTACCTTTGATACCACTTTTATTTCAACTACCTTTGCTCCTCCTTGGCAATGCTTGTTTTAAAAAGCAATGATTAGAATTGTAATAAAAGCTAAACACATGAAAGTGAATTTGGGCATTTTTATTTTTTTAATTTTTTGTTTTTGAGAATTAGCAGAAATAATAAACACTATTAGATTGCTTATTTAAAAGAATAATTTTATATTTACAACATTCTAAAAAACTAATGCAATGCAATATTTATCATTTACTAATTCATAAAAAAGTAAATATGAAAATTTTTTAATCGTAAATTTATGAACATTTACTAAATTATTTTAATAATATGTGAACTGACTATAAGGAATCCTTATTTACCATTTTATAAAGTTTGAATCAATTGGCAATTAGCCAATGAGTTACCAACCATTCCAATAAATAATACAAATAGTGTTTTTTTTTTTTTTGTCAATTCTTGAGAAGAAAGAAAATGTATCGATTCACTCTCATCGTAAGTTTAAGTTTTATTAAAATTCTAACCATCGCTTTTTAAAATGATAAACATTGCCACAACCAAACTGCACCCCCCCAACACGCACACACACACACACACACACACACTTATTTTTTGTTTGAGACAAAGCCAATCCATCACTGTTAAGATTCTACACCCATGAGATTCAAGCCACTCCCACTAAGTTTGGGTTATCGAATTCTGATCAGTAGGAGGAGGCACAGTGGAGTAATGGATAGCGGCTTGGATTGAGGAATCTGAGAGCCGAGTTTGAATTCCAATTGAATCCATTACATTCACTTATGTGCTAATACCCTTGGGAAAGGTATGAATCTTATTCTTCTCCCTCCAGCTATGAGTAAATAGCAGGGTAGACCGGGTTCTATAGCCTTGGATAGCAACTGGTCTACCACAGAAAGAAATGGCAACCTACTGTGGAAAAAATTCTGCCTCATCAGTCATGTATCAAAAGATACATGATTGCCTAAGCGTGTATCATGCATGGCATATAACTGACTGACTGATGGTAGGATTTATCATTTCTGTCTAGATTATGCATTCTGTAACACTAAATCTTTAAGAACAACTTTTCTATTACCACATAAGCCATTATTACTCTATATTGTTTTATTATTATTATTACTATTGCTAATTTCTTATGCCTGTTGTATTTGCCAGTGTTAAAGACAGATTTTTTTTTCTTAATGTCTCTAACATTTACTGAGTTCTACAGGTTGTTTTAAAATATTTATTTTTACTTCACACTTATGTACTAACTTAAAAGCTGCCCTATCTGGCAGTATTTCAGCTAACTCTTGTGGAGGACTCTTTGATTGGGCATTTGGCCCAACAATGACACTTCATGCATTGAGTACATATTAAATTTTATTAAACTTTAACAATATTTTTCAAACAATTAACAGTTTTCATCAAAACAATAATACAATTTGTCTATTTGGAACTTATTGCAAAAACATTTTTGGTTTCCCCAAATAGCTTGTTTCCATTCCCAGCCCTTGAACAGCCAACATAGAACTGGCCGTGAGAAAAGCAGCATCCCATCAGATGAAGTCCAGTTACTTTAAATGATTGCCCTTGGGACTTATTAATTGATATTGCATAGCTCACTGTTACTGATAACTGAAGTATGGAGGAATTAAGGGGATTCTTGGAATTAAAACTCTTTCTCTCCTTTCCTAGACCAGTAAGCATCTCTACTTCCAAGAGATATAGAAGCATCTTCTTGACAATTAACTTTGTTCCATTACAAAGCTTTGGAGGATCCAGATTTTTCAATAGCATAACTGGCATATTTTCTTTTAGTTCCATCAGGATGGCATTCCAGGAGGATTTCAATGAGTTCAGGAACTCTATTGAATAATTCACTACCTGCTCTTGTTCAACCAAATTGTCAATGGAAAAGTACTTAATGTTTTCTTTTGGAATTTCTTGGAGAAGTTTACAGTTGCTTCTATCCACAGTTTGATTCTTGGAATCTAATATGGCGATCTCACAAAGCCAGTTTGAATCTATGAAATAGTGTTTAATGTTTCGATAAATATGGTTAATCAAGTCTTGGATACTTGAGACTGAAACTCCACGACTGTTTGGGAGCAAAATATCTCCATTTTGGCCCATTTTTATGGGTCCAGTGCCAAGCTGCAACAGCAAAACAAAATCTTTCTTCAAGGTCACCTGTAATTCTAACTCTCATGTTTATTTTCAGGCTGAGTCTTTGAACATAGCTTGTGATGTAAGAATTTTTCATAGCTATGTCCCTTTAATTGAAAAAGTGTGACATTTTTGCATTTATTATATAAGATGTATATAATTTTATTTTATCAGAATTTTAATAACCAACACTAAAATTTTTCCCCCACTTTTTCAGGTTCATCCACGTACCTCTGTAGAAGATCAAGATGAACTTTCATCATTGCTGCAAGTTCCTTTGGTTGTAAGTACTTGCATCTTTCTCTACTCCTAACCCCTACTGTTTGCAAACTTCAATATGATTCTGCTCTTTTGGTATTTTTATAAAAACATTTTGTATTGCCAACAAAAAGTCTTGTTAAAATGTTTCTATAAGCAATTTTAATGAATCGTTGATGTTTATTTATTTATTTTTTTTTAATCTGCTTTGATGATCTTGTTCAATTTGACTTTACATGTCATATCTCTTAAAAGTATTTTCAAGTACTTTTTTTCAAATATGTCTCCAGTATTTTAAAGATCTCTTGACATTTCCTTTTTATGACAGTCAGAATTGAATCTTTTATGATTTGGAGAATTCATTTCTTTAGAGTTGTACAGAAAATTGATTTCAGCTCTAAAATTACAAGCAAAAAAATAGTTTAACTTGCTTAATCAGATTGTCTTGTAGCAAATTTAAAAACAAATAGGAAAATTGTTCCCCTTATAATTTTAAAATCCATCTCTAATTAATTTCACTCCATTTAATCATTTTTCTCAAATAGTTTTCTCATTCTTTGAGAATGATTAGCTAAGATTTTATCTCAATTGAAAGATTTTTGTTTACAAATATTTATACTAAGTTTGAAAATTGTATGTTGAGTTTACATGAAAGAAATTTTCCAAGAATGCACTTTTACCTTTTTTCTTCTTAACATTTTAGAAGACATTATTGTAAATTATATATTCTATCATCGTTCTTTTGTAATGGAATTCTGATTTAAAATTATCAATCATGTCTGTTGTTCTTTCTTGTAGGCAGGTACAGTGAACCGAGGCAGTGATATAATTGGAGGGGGTTTGGTTGTAAATGATTGGATAGCCTTCTGCGGCCTGGACACAACCAGTACAGAGATTTCAGTGATAGAAAGCGTGTTCAAACTTGGTGAAGGAGCTCATCCTTCGAATATTACCAGCAACATGAGAGAATCTTTGATTGATAGGTTTGTATCATCTTTTTTTGCTGTTCCCTTGCCTCTGTCTTCAAATAGTGCAAAACACTACTTTCATTTGCTAAATTTAACTTACTGTGGTCACAAGTTCAAATTCTGATTTCTACTTGGGATTGAACATTAGCCTCTGGCACATCTTGGATTGAATGCACAGGTGTTTCCTACAGGAGACAAAACACTACCCAAACCATGTAATAATTATCAATATGTATTTATTTATATATTTCCTGTCTCATCTGTAGTGGCAAGGTAGGTAAATCAACTTAGTAAATTTATGAGTGATTACTTCCCTTAATCTATATAAATAAAATATTCATCTGCATTTAAAAATTACTTCTGGGTAAAATGAACCATTAAATTAATCCATTCCTTTATTTCTACGTTTCTTAGATTGCACTCTTATTTGTTCAAGCCTTTCATGCAAGGCACTCAGATACCTTTGTCTTTTAAGTGATTGTCTTGCTTCAACTTGGTATTGAAATTGTCTTTGTTGTTCTGCTGCTAATTTTTTTTTTTTTTTTTTTTTCTTCCAAAAGACATTTCCATTTTAGTTGTATTAAACACACAACATTTTTAACATGAAATATTGAGCAAAAATCAATTTATATAATACCAGGGGAAAATCAATGAATCATAGATAGCACTAAACATCTAAAAAATATAAAGGGAAGAGATTAATTAAATCTAGTTTATAAATTCTTTATCTTCACTTTATTGAATCTAAATACATTGTTTCAAGACTTTTGCTTCATTATATCTCACTAAATTTTTTCACAATTGCTGTCATTTTTGATAGCATAGGCACACTAATCATATTTAAATAATTTCTGAATATATTTATATACAGGAATGTTCAGGAAACAGATATCAGATGCATTCTTTACTGGACAAACCCTGTGAGCCACTTGGTAATCTTTTCAGAGAAGATTATAATGGAGGGGTGGGGTCAATGAGGATGATGATAATCATTGCATTCACTATTTCACATATTACCTTTTTCATGTATTATTTGCAAATTTTTATTCCATGTATGTCGTTCAGGATGTAAGGAATCATGGCTCTCTACAAATTGCCTTTTCATTATTATCAGTGAATCATGGGAGTGGTTTTTTGGTTACAATCTCCATGGTTCAGAATTCCAAGTTTTTTTTGTTTTTTCTTCTCTTAGACTAGTTGCCAACCAGTGCTAAAGAATCCAGTCTGCCCTACTTTTTAATTGTCTCTCAGAACTGTGAGTTAATTACCAGTGGAGATTGGACTTTTTGGTAGGGGTTCTCAGTCTTGAAGTAGGAAAAACTCTGAATTCAAACATGACAAATGTTGTTTGGAGACTTTGCAAAACATTGTCTTCTGAAAAATATGGCTGGTTTTCCTTCTCTCAGTCTGGTTGCCATTCCAAGGCTATGGCCTCTAGATAAGAAAAAAAAAAGAAGCCAAATTCATGCCTGGAATGTGAACTCAGCTTGCTGATTTTTTACTATTGTCCTCGTCTTTACTGTCATATTCACAATGTTTCAGCCATAGTACGCTCTGGCCTTCTTCAGGTGATATTTGTTTGAATTTTGATCCAAACCCTGGGGTTGATTGTTCTAATTCCATATACCATGTCTTTGGATGTTTTATGGCCTAGTAGATAAGTATTGATTGTGATTGATTCAAAAGTGACTTGGTCCATTCAAACCCTGGCCATAGCAGAGAGAACATAAACTTGGAGAGTTGACTTATCAAGGGAAATTAACAAAAAACTGAAATGCCCAAAGGTGCTAAATTGTTCAGGTTGAAGTTCCAACAAATATCACCTGAAGAAGGCCACAGTGAACAACAGCTGAAACGTGAAAGTAAAGATGAGGACAATATAAATAGTTACAATATGTCATCTCAGAAATCTAGAGTTCCTGATTTTTATTTTCAATTTTACTTTAACCATCAAAACAATTTTTATTCATAAATTTATAAACATTTACTAAATTATTAAAATATGTGAACTGATAAGAAAATCCTTATTATTTACCAACCATTCCAATAAACAATTTAATAATGCTTATTATTTTCATGGTCAATTCTCGTGAACAAAGAAAATGTATGATTTTGGTTTTATTACAATTGTAATTATCGCTTTTGAAACTGTTGCCAAGGAGTGAAGGTAATTAAAATAATGGCGGTGTCAAGAGAAAAAACTACTTTTGACCCACTGTTATTTTTGCAGGTACATTACTAAACAATTTGTCAATCAGATTAACTATTTTGTTCATTTAAGATTGCTTCCATGTCAATCTGGAATGAAAATCTCTTGAGATTTCAACATTTCTCTTTTGAAGATGAACAATTTTCAACATTTTTCTTTCTCCAATCTGTTTTCAGTTTGACGTGAGATGTCTTCTTAAAAGCTGGTTGCTGTGATGGATATTTTGGTCCATAAAAAGAATTTCTCTTCGTCTTTGTTCATTTGTCTGATGTTTACATCAAAGATGAAGTTGGCTCCTGTAAATATAGAATGGATGGTGTGTGCAGGCCAATTGCTGTCCCCTAAACAGTATGACTTGATGACATGGGCCAGAAACCAGATCCTATCATTGCCTCCCCCTCCTCTTTTTTTTCCCTGCACTTGCTATTTTTACCCACCTGTTCATTTCAGTCTAGGACATTTTGTACATCACATCTCTCTACAGAAGAAAAAAAAAAGAAAACTTTGTATACAGTCATTTGAATAAAAATTAAAATCTGCACTAATTGCTTATAATTGGTGCTCTACTGAGTGTACTTTTTTTTTTTTTTTTTTTTATTCCTAACTTCAAATTAAATTCTGGTATACAAGCTTCTTTTTTTTTTTTTAAAAAAAAAAAAAACAAAAAAAACAGCCTCTATTTGGCCCCTTTTAATCTTCTCTCTACCCAAAAGAGAAAAAAAAATAAGACAACAATAATTTTGCTTGCTGAAATTGCTTTGGAATCCCTTCTACCATTCCATGCCTCTGTAATAATGGCTTCATCAGAGTGTATCATCCAGACAGTCTACAGGAATTTTGTATGTATCCTTTTTTGGTTGCCTTGTCTTCATATGGACCAAGATGATATGGCAAAACAATGCCTTTAATCCATTTTACTCAATACTCATTTTAGGATATAACTTCTTAAATTAATTTTAAATATATTGTATTTTCCTGATCATGCCTTTGGCATAAACATGCTACCAGTCTGTGAGATCATATAGTTTGGGTGTCACTGCTTTGGAGGGTTGCCACCACCCAGCAATCCTGCCGTTGTTTCTTACAGATTCTTTCTAATAAATTTAATATTTGTTTGTAGTAAAATCCACAATTAAAATGGTATTCAAATTGATTTTTTTTCTTCTTTTACTTGGAATTCAAATCTGGTAAGAGATTTAAAAAAAATTCTTTTTAGGGAAGAGAAAAAAAAATAAAACTGGTCAGTGCCTTCTGAAAATGTTTATTTGATAAATTATATTTGCAAGAAAATAACAATGGCTGAAAAAAACAAAAAAAAAACAACCCCAAGTAGGCTGACTAACAAAACAGTTTTAAGGGAACATGATAAAGGTGGATTATTTTTTATTTTCTTTTTGCAAAACAAATCTTGAAGAAATGTGCTTTCGTCTTTCACTTTTCCATTTAGGCTAAAGTGCTCTTTTTTCTTTTAACTACACAGAAACATAAAAAAAAATATTGTGAAACTATAATAATTTAAGTTTCAATATAAATTAAATTTACCTCATTTTATCTGTACCATAAAATAAAAAAACTTAAATATTTGGTTGGAGGTGCAAAGAGGATAAATGATCCTAAACAATTGTAAATAAATTGCTATAAAAATTGAAATTTCTAATTTAGTTTCTTTGTCATTGGTGATCAGCAAATTGCTGATCATCTTTCACTGTTTGGGGGATTCATTTTCCAGCTGTTCTCTGTGATTGATTTTTCAGTCAGACAACAATTTTTTGATCTTATTTGCTACAAGCAATCTGAAGAATTATCTTTTTTTTCATTTTTTTTAAAACCATTTTTCTTGTGTTTATCTTAAACTTAAGATGCGACTTTCTCACAAATAGCCAAAATAAATAAAAAGGTACTTTTAGTTGCTAATGCTGACCACACACCCATTTCACTTCTGTCTGGGTTAGAGGAGTGAGGCTGCTGACAGTCTTATAAAAACATTGGCAGCAATAAGCACGACAACCTGGGGGAGGAAAAAAAAAACAAACAAATCAATGAAAGATATTTGTGGTTTAAAATATTTTGTTACATAAATGAACTTAACAAAAATGTTAACTTTCAATTATTGTTCGAATGGTTTCGTGTTACCAAACTAAAAATGAATCTTTAACTTTGCATGTGTGTCTGTCGATTTATCCAATAAAGTCTGTAGCCTAACACTTGGATGGATCTCATGTTTGATCTGTGATTCATATTAATGAATTAAGTGCATTGTCAAGGAAGGAGATCATGTTGACAAATATATTTTGTAAAATAGATACTTTGATGCATTTACTGGTGATGTTGGGTGGGGGTTGCAATTTAATAGATCAAGAATTTATTATACATGAGGTTTAAACATCTGCTTTCGTTTTGCCTGAACAGTTAGTTCTCTGTGATAGAGTTGGTAAGGGTGTGCCTGGTTAACTAGTAATTTCCTTTGCTCTGAATGATGCAAGTTCAATTCTTGCCAGAGGGTACAATTTTTTATTTAATAAGATTTCTTGAATATTGAGGCCAGTAGATGAAAATAAATAAATAAATATATAGTTTAATAAATAAACAAAGCGTCTACTCAAATACGAGTATCCACTAAAAATAACATTTAAAGTGATACAAATCTAAAACTGATTTAAAAAAAAAAACATACATTCTGGAATATATATATATATATATATAAAAAAAAAAAAACTAAGAACATGTAATTCGGGCGAAAACAATCGACCAAAGAAAAAAAACCTCCGACACGAGTAAAGTAAAAATAACTAAGTAGAGCAAATCTAACTACGAACCTAAAGAGCCAGACAAACCTACCTAGGTTTCACCTATGCAGATCATCAGGGCACAGTGCAGAGGTATGCAAGTTAATCAGATGCCTCCTACTTAATAATTTAAACAGTCATGTGGACCCTAAAAACCATAGTCTGTAGAGGGACGATGCATTGATTATAGTAGAGAAAAGCAACCCTAGGAAATGTGACATAATCCCCAAAAAATTCCACTGGCTTTTTAAAAAATTCGGATTTAACCTTGATATAGAAATAAACCTCAAGTTACCAATTACCTGGATGTCTTATTGGATCTACGTGATGGTACTATTTCACCGTATAGAAAGGGTAACCAGTACCCGTAGTACATTAATGTAAGTTCTGATCACCTGGCACCATATCTTGAAGCAGATACATAAAGGTATTAATCATAGACTGTCCACAAATTCATCAAATAATATATGAAGAGGCTCTAAAGAAAAGTGGACATAACAATAAATTAGAATATATTGATACGGATGATGACCCTAGAACACAAAACCAGAAGTAGAAATATATTGTGGTTTAACCCCCCCCCCATAATTCAATGGTGAAAACTAACAGGTAAAGTATTTTTTAGATTACTCAAACAGAATTTCGCACAAACTTATATAAAATCTTTAATAAAAACTATGTCAAATTAAGCTCTAATTGTATGTCCAACATGGCTAGTTTAATTAATAGATACAACAGGAGAAAAATTAAGGACAAACCACGTAGGTAGGTCCCCACCAAAATGTAAATTGTAGGAATAAGAATGCCTGCCCCCAAGAGTGCGTGGTATACCAAGTAAAAATATACAAGGGTAAACTTTGTAATACCGATCAAAATCCAAAAGTATATATAGGATCTACCCAAAATGGTTATAATATCGGGTTTTAAAACTATCTTAGTAGTTTTAATAACGAAAGATACAAACATAACACCATGTTATCCACTTACGTATGGAAAATGATTATAATAAAGACCTCATTTTGAAATGGGAAATATTAAAATGCCAGCAGGTAATAAATTTTGTCCTCTATGTATAGAGGAAAAGTTAGCTATTGCTTTGTATAAAGAACCTAATAATTTGCTAAATCTGAAATCTTGAGTAAGTGTAGACATAGGAAACGCTGGTTACTAGAATAGGTTTGATTTTTTTTTTTTTTTTTTATTGAATAAATATGAATTAACCTCTTCAGTTATTATTACTTTTTTTTTCGTCACATGGTCATGTTTTTATATTGTAGGCTATCTATATTCTGTTCTAATGTTACCTCTTTGGCTGGCTGACGATCTGTGTAGGTGAAACCTAGGTAGGTTTGCAGTTTATATATATATATATATATATATTATGTATGTATGTATGTATTGGCAAGTGTTTAGATTTCCAATATGTTAATCTACCAGGATAACGAAAATTTTTGTATTGAAAATCAGAGTATCAAAACTTGAAAAATCTTTCACTCAGCAAATAAACTCAAGCAAAAAATAGATTTTTATTTCCTAGCAAAATATATATATATATATATATATATATATATATACATACACACACAGATAGAATAAACTATTTTTAAAAGTAGAGCTGATTTTGTGATGAAGTAAATAACGTACCTTTTTTAAATAAGAGCTTAGCTTTTAATCGTCCAACATCAGGAACATTATTCCTGAGGAAAAGGTAATTGGTTGAACTATGCCAGGCAAAACCCTCAAATGATAAAACCTTGAAGTCACATGATGTGCAACGCAATTTGTCACAAGATCTGGAATAAAGAATGGATAGAATTATTAAAGAAAATGATTTCTATCAGAACATCAAAATTAGCCCACAACGATGCTGGAAAGTCATAGACAATCTAATTTGATAAGGTGAAAAAACAAAAAAAAATCCTTAAATATAAGAGGCTATATTTAACGTTTTTTATGTGTGTGTAACAATTGAAGGGCAGTGTACAAAAGACCCCCCCCCCTTCACATTCACACACAAAACACTAATGCACTGACAAACTACAAAACAATCCCTTTCTTTTCTCGATTTGGCAACAAAAGAAAAACTGCTCTCTAGTGTGACACAGTTCACAGTAACAAATAAATTGTATCAAATCTCAACACTCAGAATTTGGACATTTAACAAAAACCCGAGTAGAATGATAGTTTTACATTATTGTGCTTTGGGAACTTTTCCAGTGAAAAAAAATTTTGGTTGTAAATATTTAACATTTATGAAGATATCTTTCCTGAGATGTTTATAAATTGTACACTGTTCAATTATTAACTTTAACAACAAACTATTTTAAAAATTTCAAAATTGTACATGGATTAAACGAAAATTACATATAATAGATTTTACTTAGAATATATTCCTTCTTGCCATCAATTTTGATTGCACAGGTACACTAGTCTTTTTTTTTTTTTATAAAGACTTGTAATTTTTCTTCTGACAACAGTCAACTTTTAGCAATTTAATCATAGATTTTGGCAATATTAGTTTAGGAAAGAAAAGTAATAAGTTTTATCGCTGTGTAATCTTGTCTTTTACACTTGTAGTAAGCTCAGAACTAAGATTTAATAAACATGAAATGCATTCTTCTCTTCATTTATAATCATGATAATACATTGGTCAGAGGACAGAATTTGTTTATAAACAACTCTACTCAAATTTTACTAAATCTTAAATAACTCCATTACTGATGTGAATGCAGCTTAAGCAAGTGAAAAACAATAAACAAAGAGTTGCTAAACAATTTATTTTTAATCATTTCATCCCAAGCAAGGCAATAAGGCCACTAAGACATAAGTGATCACTGAGTGTGAGAGAATATGAGAAAAAGAAAAAAAAATTAAAGAAAGAGAACAATAAAAAAAACGAATTAAGAAGACAAAAGATAATGATTGACATTGCATTTAAATTGACTGAAAAGCAAAAAGTTCTATAAGAAGTGCAAAATTTGGTTGGTTAATTTTCTTTAGTGACATATCAACACTTCTATGGGTTATTTAATGCCAAAATCTAAATATTTTGAACACAATTTTATGGCTTCAACTAAATATATATTATAAAATTGTATTGTTGGTATTTTTTTTATATAAAAATGTATTTTTATACTTTCATAGTGTTTTGTTTTTGTATGGGGAGGGGGGGGTCACTATTTGCTCCAGTTGGAACCCTAGCAAGTGCTACCATCATGGGTCAGGATGGACCTGGAGACAACAGCAATTAAGAGATGGTTCCAGGTTTCTCAAAGCCAGAAAAAGTGCAAGAGAAGAAACTGTTAGCACAGAACTTACAGTAAGTTCTTTGCAATTTTGCCACCAATTTAGTCCTATGCTTAAATTCATAAAGTCTAGGTACCAAAGAGGAAAGCTCATCAGAACAATTACCATGCAAATATTTATTAAAAAAAAAAGTCACAGGGAAGTTATGGTGGTGGGAAAGGGACTGAAGCCGAGATACCAAGTAAAGACCAATAAAATTGCAGATTCTTCTTTATATCTTATCAAGAATCTCTAAATAAATAAATAGCAGATGTGACCACAATATTTAATGCATGTAAAATAGGTTCTGGTGAGAAAAAATTGTCTAGCACAAGACAGTAAACCAACTTTTCTAGCAATTGATTCAATATAATCTTTCAACTTTATGTAAAACTGAAAATGTTAGATTGAGAAGGCTCAAGGAGTCACTCTCCTGGACGTTAGCATCAGCCATACTAATGGAAGGCAAAAAAGGTTCTTTCAGATGATTAAAGATTGCAGTTTTGTTTTGTTTTGGAGGTGTTAAAATTAACAGGTATTTCTTGCCCCAGTTGATAACAGATTTTATACTGTATTCAAGAATTCTACTCGTCTAGTTACATTGAAATGTTTTTCTATTCATTAGAACCAAACAAAAATTTAAGCAACTTGAGGCCTAATTCTTGTGCAGAACTTAAGTAACGAAGTCAAAATCTCAAGTTATAAGAAATAAAAAAAAAATCATGTATTAGTAAATTCATGTCTCAATGGTGGCTTCATAAATTTGGCCCTTTTGATACTGATTTTTCAATAGTGAGGGGATAAAATGAATTTGTGAGCTGGCTAGCCGGGTTATTTCATCAGCCTTGAAATATGATAAGCATACCAGACACACCATATTAGCAATTGGAATGAAAACTGCTTTCTCAGTTTCCCCCCAATCTATAATTCTAATTCCAAAGAAAAGAAATTCACATTTAACAACATTATTAGTTTTCACTAGGAGAAATAATAGAAAAACTCAGATTAACCTTTTATTTGAACTGCTACTGAGTCCACAAGGGTAATCACTGCCAGCAAGATAAACGGGGAAACATCTGATAAAGAAAGCAAAAATACAAATCCACAAGTGGGTTAAGTAAACATTCAAGCAGTCTACACAGATCGTCATAATTATTTCAATTATTAGTAAGAGCTATAACATTGTGAAGATCTGGTTTTTGCTAATACAATTTCCACAGGAAAATACTCCCCCCCCCACATATACAAAAACATCTGTCAGTGGATAATTCCCATTTCTCTGTTTGTTCCTCAGGCCATTGATGAAGGACATAGTTGTGTCCAAAAATTTGGAAGATAAAATCTTTCTCTCCATGTTTCATTTCTGTCATATGGTTAATATTTAATAAATGTTTATCATACCGATTATATTAGTATCCTTTCATTTGTCCTTTTTTTTATTATTTATTAATCAACCTATCTATTTCACATATATATTTGTTTTTAGTACCTGCCATTTTTATTGTTTTAGTGTGCTTTAAGTTTCAGGTTCTAATTATTACTACTCCTGTTTTGCTAGTAACATGACTACATTAGTACTTTAGTTGCATTTGTAACAAAGATTGTCCCTTTAGTATGTTGGGATCCATCTATCCAGGATCCCAAATATTTAATAACAACAACACATCATTTAAATGAAACATAAAATGGATATTCTATGAAGGAAAAGTAGTAGCAGAAAGTCAGTTGAAATATCATTTATATATTCTTTTCAGAAATAAAATTTTCAATTTTCCTTGCAGTGAAATTTTTTTTATAAAGTAATTAAGTGTTCTTAGTTCAGTGTGAGATGTGCGGACAGACTTACTTTATGATGGTCAGCCTAATGTGTTTGTGAGTTCATAGTTGGCAGCTGCTGGTTGTCATCTTCTATTGTGTGTGTACACACATCTATAGATTAAACTAGCCCCTGAAATTGTTTTGAACCCTGAGAAGAAGTATACTTTTATCTTCTAAAATCTAATTTTACATACAGGTGCAAATGTTTGTGAATTGGCTAGAAAATAATTTCACAAACGTTTGCACCTGTATGTGTGAAAATTACTGTGTTGTGAAAATCTTTTTTCTTGAATTTGTGGAAGTGGTGAAGGGAGTTATTATTGTTATTTTCTAAATGGTTAAAAAAACAACATGTTGTAGGTTTACAACTATGTCCACAAGTATTTTGATGGTATTTTCCATAGTAATGATTGTTTATCTAACAAATCTGATGAGAATTGTTTATTTAGAAGGTGTGTATGCATGTGATTTGAAGTACCTTTAAATGTTAAGAGTCATTAGCAGGTGGGCTATTCGAGCCTGAATAAGGAAAAAAATTATCATTCAAAAAGCCTGGAGGAAATATTTTTTATCTCATTTCTGAGTAGTTCAAAAGGTTTTTGAAATTACATGCCATGTCTCATATTATATCAATGTATGGAATCATGGGATTTATAATTTGTTTTTTTTATGACCTTGAACTTATGTTCATGATCTGTAAATTTTGGGGGCTTTGGTAGGATCCTCTCTTTTGCACAAAACTTCTAACACAGATGATGCCTATTCTTAACTTCTATGTATCAACACAGTAATTTTCTCTTGTCCTTTAATAATGACATCAAAAAGCTTGTCTGTGAATATGAAAGGATCCAATTGAAAATAAGTAGACAAAACTTGTCTAAATTATTCAATGAAACATGTGTCTCTCTCTCTCTATATATATATATATATATTTTTTTTCATTCATTCCTAAACATGTTCGGTTTTTTAAATATTATTTGAATTGTTTTTGATGGGATTTCTCATTTTTTAAATCATTAACCTTTGTATTTGTTTTTTGTATGAATAATTCATGAATTTGTAAATTAATTGCACCTTTATTGAAATTAAAATAACTGATCCAAATGCAACTTTTGGATAATAAGTGCGACATTACTGTAATTATTGAACAATAAAGTTCATGCTACTTTGACAGAAAATTTACCAGTAAAAAAGAATTCACTTATCACCACATTTGTATAAGAACGCACAATTGTAAAATTTAAATTCAAACTCAGTGTTGCGACAACACGCTCCAAAAACAATAACTCATTTCTAATAGCATTTTTTCGGATTACAACAATACATATATTTTCATTGTCCTCTTATTACTGACAGAAAAAATAAAGAACAAAAATCTATTCCATACCTGAGGATGTCTGTAGGAACAGACGAAAGCTTGTAAAATAATAAGAACTCATGCAACAGAAATTTATAGAAACAAGGATCTTTTCATTCATAAACAGGTTTGGGGTTTTTTTATATTTATTTGAATTGTTAAACGATGGATTTCTCATTTAATTAAATCTTTTAACCTTTGTATTTGTTTTTGTATGAATAATTCATGAAATATATATATATATATATATATATATATATATATATATATATATATATATATATATATATATATATATATAAAACAATTTTCTTCAGTGTGAAATTACTTTGAGAGAAATTTGGGCTTTTGCAACATGTATCTTTGTTGTTTGGGTCCTCCTAAAGTAAAAAAAGAATCAAATAAAACTGAACACAAATCCTGAAAGACATTTCAAACTGTTCCATATTAACAATGATTGAAACAAATACTTTATAAAATGCATGGTATATGCTTTTGTATGATGTTATTGGAAAGCTTCTGGATTCAGATCTCCTGGCAGACACCAGAATTGATTCCAAGCAGGTAAGAAAGCTTATCAAATTGTTTGGTGATTGTCCTCATAAATTCATAAAATATTTCCATATTTTTTGATATTTTGTTAGTGACTGGTGGCCTTGAAGCGTACATTGAATATTCACCAAAAAACTGATAAAGCTCTTCAAGGATTTGGGTTGCAAACTTTTTATTCAATCTATTAGGAAGATTGTACTCATTTTGCTTTCCATGATCAGGGGGAGATAACTACCAGACTTAGGATTGAACTCACAACTGCCAGGGAATTAGATATGTTTCAATCAAGACTTTAATCCACTTAGACAATCTAGTGTTGACATTCTGCAGCCTTAAACCTCATGCCTGTACTCAGGTGGTGGAATTGTACAAGGATTCAGGCTCAGGTGGTAGAATTCTTTTTAAGTGTCCTTAAATTCCAAGATGGATTCATCTCTATGCTATATCTAATCTAAAATTGAATCATTTGTTTTAAGCATGTGTCATATAAAAGTAACATATTTAATTTACAAATAAAACATACATATGTTATAAAGAATTATAATCTAAACAACATAAGTAGAAATGACAGATTAGACATTTATGCCTGGAAAAAAATGGAGTGAAAAGGATGTTTTTTTTTCCTTGACACTGCTATTATTTTAACTACCTTCACTCCTCAGCAATGTTTATTTTAAAAAAATGATGATTAGAAATTTAATATATCCTAAACATATGATGAAAGTGAATTTATACATTTTCTTTGTTCTTGACTATTATACTATTTATATATTACTAGCAGCATGACCCGGCATTGCCCGTGCTTGATTCAAAAATCGTATGACTCATACAGCAATCGATATCACTTGACTTAAAATATTTTTGCCCTTCCTTGCCCTTAAAGGAGTGCCCTTTGCTGTGCTGATGTTGCTACATGCCTTACTTCTTGCCTATCTCACACTGCGAATTTTTTCTAAGCTCTATACTAAACATTAAATCTGTTATGAAAAAAGAACTAAACAAAATGAACACAAAACTACCAGCTTTAAAAAAGGACTTGTAATTGGAAAAACTGAATGAAAAAAGAATGTTAACAGCAAATACTTTTTCACACCCAACCCAGTTCTGCGGAATCAGAATCAACGTTGAGTTTAAGCAAATGAATGAGCTAATTGGAGTAAAGTGCCATGCAGATTTTTCCCACTTCTGACGAATGCAGCTATCAAATTTTTTGCATGCTAGTTAACATTCGTGTCAGTCAGCAGTTGGCTCGCACGCTGGCCAATAGAATCTTCCTGCTTATTCGTGGCAGCCACCTATTGGCTCTCACTCTGGCCAGTAGGAAATGGCCGTAAACTACATGAAAACTGCCATAGAAGCATGAAAAAAATCGATTATTTCTACTATCAATGGGAGTTGGGAAATGCAAAGTCGGTCTTGGCCTTCTCACTAATTTGGAGCATGTGCATGTAAATTTTGGTGCAAATCCATAAAAATTGTCTATCTAAATTCACACACACACACACACACACCCTGCCTTTTATAGATAGAGATATTATTTATTGGAATGGTTGGCAAAACATTGGTTAATTGCCAATTGATTCAAACTTCATAAAATGGTAAGTAATGATTTCTTTATAGTTGGTTCACATATTTTAATAATTTACTAAAGTTTTATAAATAAAAATTTTCATATTTATTTCTTTATAAATTGGTAAAATGATAATTATTGCATTGCGTCAGTTTCATACAAGTTTTTAGAATGTTGTAAATATAAAATTATTCTTGTAAATAAACAATCTAATAAATAAGTTGCAGTTGTAAAAAGAAATTGCAAGAGACGAGCACATCTACAAAAACCTGTATGGTGGCAAAAGATGCTGGTGGCAGTACTGCATTAGCCACAGACATGTTACCTTCCCTGGCTAGTGGCTGATAGGGGCAAGGTATCGTGCATGCTTTCACATGTTATATGTAGGAAAAAAAAAAAAAATGAAAAGTGTTTAAAACTTTTGTAAATTCTCAAGAACAAAAAGTAAATGTATAAATTCACTTTCATCATGTTTAGTTTTATTACAATTCTAATCAATGCTTTTTAAAACAAACTTTACCGAGGAGTGAAGGTAGTTAAAATAATAGCAGTGTCAAAGAAAAAACTATCCTTTTGACACTCAACTTTTTTTGCGGGTATGGAAGACCAAGTTTGCCATTTTATTTTTTTTCACTCCAAAAAGAAAACCTATTCTGAAAAAGTAACTTACATGGAGATCTTTTATGTCATCAATTTCAGCTAAAAGGTCATCAAGTTCATTAATAATAGAACTGCTCGATTTTTGGGGCTTTCTGAAGAGGAAAGAAGACAAAGAGAAAATGAAGATGAAAATTTAAGAAATAGAGAGACAAGAGAAAGGAACACTGGTGGCCATATAATTGGACACTTGTGCCTTATTTCCTTCAAATTTCTTTGCCTATGCATGCAAATCTGTCTTAACCTGAAAAAATTGAATATATTGGCAGAAATTATCAATATGGGTACAAATTAACCCCCCAAATAATATAAAATGTTATTTTAAAAAGATATGAAAATGCTTTGTCTCCCAGTGAGGATTTGGCATGTGTAAATTGCATTCTTATTACAAAAAAACATAATGTTTAGAGGAGAAACATTTTACAGTAGACATCCCTGTTAAAAGGATTATTAGCGATAGAGTAGGATGTCACCTCTCTTATCTCAAATATTGTATAAGGTGCATAGGTAAATAAAGATGACTTGAAACTCTGATCTGAAATTTGGAAGAAAGAAATATTTATTAGAATGACGTAAAAAACAATAAAACAGAATACAAGTTTTACAAATAAGTTTGCACAAATTTATTTTTTCTTTGTGCACCTTATTATTATAAAGTCATGGTAACCAGTTCCAAAAATTAAAATATAGGCTCATAAAAGCTGATATAAATTTTTCAACAAACAATCTTTTGAGAAGGTTGGCAAATTCAAATGGGTTGATGGGAATAGTTTAGTTTTTAAAATGAACTACAATATCAAGATAAATCACATTTTCTTTTCATAAAAGTTCAAAATTAGGGTTGGAACCTCTAATTTTAAGAATATTTTCTTTCTTCTTTATCTTTTTCATCTGTTCCTTACTTTCTCTTTATCTTTATTGGTGGTAGATTTGTTATTGTTGTTGTCATTATCAGTAGCCCTCAGTTATTTGCAATGTGAATGCCAAAAGCTTTCTGATCCTTAGAGCAGTTTGATTTCTTAAATTACCTCAAAACAGGCTGCAGATTCAATTCCAGGATGAAATTTCCATACATTAAAATTACCTTCCTCATTGGTCAAAAAAAAAAAAAAAAAAAAAATCCATGGTGTATATCTTTTTGAAATTTGAAAATCAAATCATAAAGTAGCAAACTGTCCACCTTTGACAAACTTTATTTTGACATTTTTTTTTCTTTCATTCTAGTTTTATAAAATTTAAAAGAACAAATGTTACACATAAAATGTATTTCTTTTTTTTTTTACTAACCATCTGGCTTTCTTTCAATGATTTTAAACACTTAAAAAAAAAAGAAATGTAAAAAACAAACCTAGACTATTATAATATTTATTTATTTTTTATCTACACTCTTTCTATGAATCATTTATTTAAATAACATTTATTTATATAAATTTTGATATTTCCCCTCAAGAGAAAGAGCAATAAACAAACTAAGTGTATTTCATTATTTTTAATTATTTTATATTCACCTTTTATTTTCTATTACAGGATGTCCCAGTATAAATGTAACTCAAATAAGCTTATGTAATTTTGTTGATTTTTAATATTTTGTTTTTATATTTCAGATTTAGAAAGCTGAGAAGATAGCAAAACCAGAACACCAAATACAATGCCTTTTACAGAAAAACAGAAAATGTTCTGTGTGCTGAGAAAATTGGAGGGAAATTCCTATAAACATGCCATCGTGAAATTCCGCAGAAAGTATGACAAAAATAAAACCCATGGCAAAACTGACATTTATCGATGGATCAAGTTTGAGGCTACACGGACAATCAACAACGTGAGAAAAAAAAGCTTCCAGCAGTCAAATTTGGCAGAAAACCTTCTTTAAGGTCTCCTGAAAGCACAGCAGCTATCTGAGATTCAGTAGGCAGGAGTCCAAAGAAATCCATCTGTAGAAGGTGGCAGGACCTTGGCCTCACCAAACATCCTGCCAGGAGTCTGTTGCACAAAGCAGTAGTTCTTGAGAAGAGGCTATCAGAATGGAACTTACTTCTTACTAATGGAATACAAATGGAATGATTCAAACTTGTATATGTAGCATGGCCGGTTGAAAAGTTTAGGGATGGTGGATCCAAGGAATGTAGTTCATCAGAACACTTGCCATGGAGATATCAATAGAGTAACAAGAGGCTTATAACATTTGATCTGCAGAAAAGAGGTTGTAGAGTAGAAAATAATCACCCACAAGTCCGTGTAGACATTTTTGAACTCTATAATGACAGGCAAGTGAGGAGTGGGCACCTCCAGCCTGGATAGGGCAACAATACTCCATTTTTGGTCTGATCTTCTCAGGAAGAGTCAGATACTTACTGCAGCAGTACAATGAACTGACCATTTTTCCTGCATCTTTAGCAATAGGTCCTATACAGGAATTCTGCTTTAGGCCTGGGTTGAACTTGAGTCTCAGTAGATGTTCAAGACAAGGAGCTTCCTCGAGAGAACACGCATCCTAGGTCAGGGGAGATTCAGATTTTTGGAGGTGCATCTGCTGTGTCATCTGCAGAGATATTCACCAGAAGTATGTTCTTAGGCAGATCATTAATAAAAACTTTTTCGTTTTTTTCAAACTCATTATCTGTCCTAATAGTTTTAATGGAAAAAAATCCAAGAACCCAATCATTATCAAATTATTATGCAAAATGAGCGGCACTACTTTTAAAGATAAAGGCATCAAACTATGTTGGATTCCTAGCCACATTGGAGTAGAAGGTAACAATAAAGCAGACCTAGCAGTCAAATCAGCTTTAGATATAGATGTAGACACAATGACCAAAGTCCCATACACCAACCTCATTAACAAATACATTCAAAAGGAATGGCAAAAGGGCCATTAACAAATACATTCAAAATGAATGGCAAAGGTGCTGAGAGTATAACCTGTACAATCTTCCTAATTCAGCGCAAACTAGAATGGAAATTGGCTTTCAGAAAAATTTCAAGAAGAACCCACTTGTACTTGCTAAACAAGGAAGATCAGCCAGTATGCCATGCATGTGAAACGGCATACATTATTAAACATATTAACTGAATGTTCAGACCTTGTTCTCTCAAGACAAAAATGCTATAATATAAAAAATATGTATAAGCTTTTTGAGAAAAGAAAAGTAGATGACATAATATTATTTATTAAAACAGTAGGCCTTTACAAAAAAACAAATAAGAATGTCAATAAAATAAATTTCTCTACAAACTGTATATATAAAAAGAATACATCAATGAAACCAGACTCTCTACTAACCCTCTTTACAAAAATATGTCAATGAAACCTGATCTCCTACAAAATGATTTCTTACAAAGAATACATATTCTATTCATACAAATTTATTCAAAAAATCTTGTCAGCATTAAATAACTGTTTGAGGTTGATATGCCGTAAAACAAAATAAATAAACAGAAAGCTATTAGAACGAAGGAGGGAAGTCTGCGAAATGCCAGTATTGCTTTCTAGGGCTTCTGATGACTATAGCCATAAACTATGACCTTCAGGAACCTAACTGTTAAGAAGGACTTGATAATTGTGAAAGTGCTTCCAGAGATTCCATAACTGAAGATTTTATGTAGCAGGCCACCCCCAACACCCATGCCACACCTTGTCAAAAGCCTTAGATATATCTAGAGTAAGGGAGCTTGTATTGTCTAATGCCTTACATCAGCTATGAATCAAGTAGAGTGAAATCCATACTGCTTAGCACTCAGGATGTTGCTCCTGCTGAGGTACATAGATTTAAAGAGTTTGACACTAAGGAGGCCAACCTGTGGCGCATGCACCATAAGTGGCGCATTGCATCCTTTTGATGAAAAGAAACTAAGCCACTTCTACTCATTCATTTCAGTGATTTTATATTTATTACATGTCCTTTGCGAAAGTGCTAAAAGTTTGATTTGTGTTTGTCCGATTTATACTTGAAGAATTGTTTGTTGCTTTCAGATAAATAGATTTTATTATAATTTTAAAATATGTCCATATTACAACATGTATGGAAAGGAAGTGAATGTTTGTGTGGTGCATTTAAATTAATTGTACAAAATATTGGCGCATGGATTCAAAAGGTTGGCCACCGCTGGGCTAATGGGTTGATATTGCAACAGACTTGAGCGCTCACCACAGGTCACCTTTGATACCTTACAAAGACTTGGAAAGTATATCTCCTTCAAGCAGCAGTTAAACAGTTTTTAAAGTGTTTGCCATTGTGATAACAAAGACACTGCTAGGGTTAAATTTATCATTTTTCTAGGAAAAATATATTTTTCAAATGTAATTTGTTCTGCTTGATAAAAATGATTTTCATTTCTGGGGGAATGGGTAGGTGTGTTTTTTTTTGTCAAAGATTTTTAGATTTAAACTAAAAGGAAGCAAAACAAAATAACACACTTCTATATAAATAAAGTGCAGATTTTTCAATCTTGGTGAATCATAAAGAAGTTGAAGTAACAGGTAGTAACTACTGTAGTTACACAAAATTAAAAAATTAAATAACTTATTTAAAGTTAAATTTAAATAACAAGCAGATTAAAAAGGTTTAAAAATCAATTCTTTATTAAAGGTTTAACTTTAATTTTGCTTTTCATTGCAGTTGAAATTGATATTGTCTAATTAAACCAAAATTAAAACTTGTGGGGCACAATACATTGAAAATATTACGTAGTTCAGGTTCATATCTTTTAAGAAGAGTGACTTCATGTAAAGAGATCATAAAGAATGGTGATTTTGAAAAAAAATAAAAATTGCGTGCAAAGTAAATGTTAACAAACTACAGAGAACAGTTGCATATACTAAGAAAGATTATGTTGAATTAAGGTGGCAAGTAAAGATAAAATAATTTTATTATTTCTAAATTCTTATAACTTTTACATACATAGAACACTGAAAGTACATAGCTGAAGGCCCAAAAGCTGTCAGCAGGAGCCAGCTTAACGTCCACCCAAAGGGTGGCTTCTAGGTTAGTATTTAATAAAAATATAATATTGTTTTTTGCATATCTTTTCTTTTATATATAAATATATACAAGAATCCAGTTTCCAGTTCACCCTGCGTTTGTGAGAACTATAAAGAAATCACAAGGCAAAATGCTTCAAAATGTTGGAATTTGGCTCCAGAAAGAAATATTTATGCATGGACAGTTGTATGCTGCATGCTCAAGAGTAAGAAATCCGAACAATGTATTCTTCGCTGTTAGAAAGGAAAAAAGAAATTTTCTTAAAAGAATATTGTTTAGCAAGAAGTCCGATAAAATTAAATTAAATTATGAAACTGAAATGGGGTTTTTGTTAAAGTATTTTTTCAAACAAATCAGCTTATTCAAATTTCAACAATTGGTTCGTGAGATTGAATGAAATGTAGAGTTTGTAAATCTGAACAAAAAATGTTAGCAACGACTTCAATAATACTAAATACTGTAATTCCAGTGTACATATAATACCAATCTGAACCTGAACTTTTTGTTTGACATTATGACACTGAAGGATAAATCTATATAATAAATGCAAATGTCACTGTATTACACTTTTTCAACTTTACTCCAAGAGGCTGTAGTCCAACATTTCATACCATTTTAGACTCTGTGAGCAAATTAAAAACATTTCCAGGCCAGATCCAAACGTGCAATCCTGAAATTTTGGATTCCCAATTTTCATTACTGTGATTGTTTTTGGCGATTTCATTACATGATTTTTTACAACAAATTTTTTGTACAATAATTTTTATAACTTGGAAATAAAGATATTGTTGGTAATTTTTTTTTTTTTTTATATAAAAAGCTATTGCTTATACTTTTACTATAAAAATGTATTTTTATACTTTCATGGTGTTTTGCTTTTATTTGGGGCTAACTATTTTCCCTTACCTGGGACCCTAGCAGGTGCTACCATCCCAGACTAAGGTAGACCTGGGAACAACAACAATTAAGAGCTTGTTCAACACCCCTCAAAAATTCACAATCAGAGGTCTTGCTGCCGGATGTAGTCTATCATCATACCTAGTACTCTATGGTACCAGGACAATCAGAAGTCTTGCTGCCGGATGTAGTCTATCATCATACCTAGTACTCTATGGTACCAGTAACTGTCATAGAATTTTATAATAAAAATGAATAAATACAAATGTTATTAAATGTTTTTCACTGTAAGAAAATTCATATAATTTGTATTTTGTCACTATTTTGCAAAAATTTATAAAAAATTTAATTACTATAAAATAAATGTTTTTGAGATTAATGTTAGCTATTTTAAGTAAAAATTTAACTTTTTTTCATTATGACATTTTGTATCTACCCAAAACCTGACCTTTTCATCCTCTGACTCGATTTTCAATCACAAATAAAGAAAAAAAAAGGTTAGGATCCAGTTTAGTAATATACATACTTAGGTATCACCACAGACTATGGATTAAAGAAAAAAATAATTTTACACATTTAAGGTTTTTAGACATTTTAGAAATATTGGTATAAACTCATCAAACCTCCATTATTTGGAGAAAAAAATGAATCTCTTGAAGAATCTAATATTTGTTCAAGAACAGAATTTGACCTTTCAAGTTAAATTAGTAAATTTAAGGATTAATTAACTGGATTTTGTAAAAAAAAAAAAAGAAAAAAAAAAAGTACAATACATAATTTTTCCTTAAAATATAGTGTAATTTAAATAACATTTATTTATACGATAGCCAGTAAGCTATCCAGTGTCCACCTATGTAAATTTAAAGTTAAGTAAGATCTGTCTGGAGCCTCTTTCGATGATAAAGGGTCAATAGATAAATTTAGAAGATACAGAAATTTTTGAAGATCAGAACTTTCAACTAGAAGGTAACCAAATTTATGACCAAAAGGTAATGAAATTTTCCACAAAAGTGTAATTAAATTTTAATCCAGAAGGTAACGAATATTTCAAAGTGACATGGATAATTTCATGCTGGAAGGCACTAAAATATGGTTCCAAAAGGGAAAGCTGGCTGTCACCTGTAGATGAGCTGGGCTATTGTTTCACAAAGAAAAAGTAGACAGCAAAAACAAGTGAAGAGAACTGTGTTCTAAAGAAAAAAAAATTGTGATGCAAGTGAATGTGCCAAAGTCCCTAGGGTTGAATGAAATTGTTGCGAGGCAAGCTAAACAAATTTTGATTTATTTAAAAAAAAAAAAAAAAAATTATAATTTCAAAAAAGAGTGCCAAAAATTTAATTAAAAAAAACAAACAAAACTTGATTTTCAATTTATAATTTCTTGGGTTGAATTAATATTTGTGATAAGTAAAGGTAAATTAACAGAAAAGATTCATAATTTCTCTATTTTTTATGAGCGGATCAGTTTATCCTCCCCACCAAAAACATAATTAAAAGTTTGTATAAAAACCTAAGTCAAAAAAAAAAAAAAAAAAAAAAAAAAAAAAGGACATAAACAGAATCAAATTTTGATAGACATATTTTGTATTATTAAATATCATTAAAATAAAAAAAAAAAGGTATGAGGTTTCCTTCAATGAATAATGAATAAAATGACATAAAACGAAAAGAAAAAATTAATAATTACTTGTGAAAAGTTTTTGGGTTGTTTAACGAAAAGTCTTGTGTAAAAAAACACACACATTGCAAGGAAAAAAGGAACAAATGAATGCCTAACTCACACATTTGTAATTAAGAAAAGAACAAAAAGAAAACATACACACTGTCTTGTTTAATATTTCGGCAAGATGCTGTTGACAAATATTTGGCTTCAACTTCGTCCAACAAATCATCGATATTGTCATCCATGATGATTTTCTTTTTGTTTACGGTTGGCAACGAGAGAATGCGATTTAAAAACAGCATTTTGATTGGCTGACTTATCCGTGGGCCAAAATAACGAATTAGTTGATTGGCTACTTAAAAAGTTCGCAACTTTTGCATTTTTTGAAATTATCAATTTGCGTAATTTATTTGTAAACTGATATTATTTATGTTCAAATACTGTTTCTTCTTTATTAAAAGAAAAAAACAAGATCAGAGATCATCACTGATTGAACACGTGGACATTGTCCCTCATCTGTGCGCGTAGTCAAGCAAAAAAAAAAAAGCTACCAACACGGACTTACTAAAAAGAAGAAAAAAAGAAAAACGCGTTTTTTAAGTAATTTAAAATAAATGAATATCTTCTTTGAAGTTAAATTTTGGTTTTATTTGAAAAATCATAACAGCCTAAAGATAATGTGTAAAAAAATTATTTTGCTTATTCGAATATGATTTTTTTAGTACATTTTAAACTCGTTGAATCCCTTAAGGAAAAAAAAATGTAAAAATTGTGGTTAAAAAAATTTTTTTAAAAATGATCTCATTGGCGTTCATAGGACGGGAGTCGACAAAATAAGATAGTGTATGAAAGACGGTGAGAGAAGAGGAATTTAGTTTACAAACAGCAAAACAATACGTCAAATACAACATCTACGTTTTGTTGTCACTCAGAATTAACATCTACTAAGGAATTTTAAGACAGTCTTTCGAATTTAAACTACAAAAATAACATTTAAAAACATCTAGTAAATCAAATCCAATACTTGTCTTAAAGATTTGTCCAAAGTAAATTAGTAAATTTAAGGATTAATTTTGTAAAAATACTTACCTCTTGCCTTGCTTAGAACATAGCGAAAATAACATTTATGATTTATTTTTATGCATGGTAGCCCCTAAAGGTTAGGTTAGTAACAGTCGTCGCCCCAACTTTTCAAAAAAGGCGCGAAAAACTGTAGTACGGAGGACATAAATACAAAGGACAAAGGTCCAAAAAAACTAATAGAATCTAGAAACTGGTATTGTTTAGTTTAGGCTTTAAAAAGTTTCTTTAATCAGATTATGTAGTGGATCAAAGAAGGTTGCGTTGTGCGAATCTACTTACGCACGATCATATACATACAAAAACAAAAACATATGTATAATGCCAAACGATCATTGGCTAATAAATCACTAATACATTTTCTACAGGCAATTTACAAATCGCAGTAATGCGACAATTTTGGAATCGCTTTATTTTTAAGTAGTCAAATTTGTGCACTTTTGGGAGAAGTGGCCCACAGAAGCTTCCTTAAGTCTCTCCAAAGCTCGCTCGTTGACTGATTGATGCCAACCAATCAGATCGTTTGAACGTGAAGAATAATTTTCCCGCGCAACGAATCGGAGTCTATAGCCGTCTATTTAAGCCAAGATTTTTCTCATATCAATTAGTGAGACCTCAATTGCTAAACGAATCTACAACAGTTGGAACTCGTTCTAACCACACGCCAACCTTCTCACTCACACGCACACCCACATGCTAATCATAATTTGTACACCTTATAGTGGGTCAGCCAATTTGTATTGGTTATAAATAGAAATAAAAAATGACCCTCTACAATTTTTACAATATCAAATGTAACAAAGACAACAAGAAGAGAAATAATCAAGTAGAAGAAAATGTGAATTTGTTCAACAATAAATATTTTTTTTATAAACACAACAAATACATAATATATAGTGCAAAAGTTGATAAACACAATAGAGTTCTTTGGTGTGTGTGTTACTGAAAGAATTTGAGCTATTGTACTGTATGTGTGAAAATGACAAGGTTTAGTTAGCTATATTTGTTTTTATAGGAAAATTAAACAGATGTTTTTTTGTGTATTAAATAGAAAAAAAAAAGTATTGTTCTTGACTCACTGATTGTTATCGCTCATTAACCAGAGATTCTTGTGGAATGGAATATTTTGTGGGAGTGAGCGTTAAGCCTGGAGATGGTTGACAAAGTTTGTTGTTGTATTGAAGATAAAGTTCGTCTCCTTTGCTGTGTTGATTTCCAATGAAGTCAAGTGAATTGGTTTCAATATTTTAAGTGCCCACTGACCAAGTCGCGTCGAAGTTTCGTTTTTATTAGTTCTCTTGGTCACGTGGGGAGGCTCGTAAAAATGTTTACATTTTATGGCGTCAACTAGAGGTCAAAATTTGGGTCGGTACCTTCGGACGTAGTTGACGACACCTAATTAATATTTTACAACCAATCAAAATACATCAGTTGTTATATTTGGCTGGGAGCCTCTATGTGCTTAACTTGCACAAAATTTAAGATTTACAAAAATGTAGGAATCTGATTCTACAACCTTCACTAAAAATCTCTTTTGGCACAACAATACTTTTCAAGAACAATCATTCATGAAACACTCATGAACATTTATTCAGTGAACTTTAAACCAAATAATTCTTTCACTGAATTTTTAAATTGCAGTAGAAGGGAGACAACTCTTGATTAATTCATCCTTTCTTACTTAAATGCATGTTTTCTTTCACATCGTTGTTTGATAGTGTACATTTTGTTAATATACATATATTTTATGTGTAACAATATCTTGTGGCTATTCTTCTTGCGTGAGTCCCGTTTTTTATCAAAGTTAAATTAGTGTGGTGAAGTACGCCATAGAGTGAATGTTTTAAATGTTTCGCTGTAAATGAAACATGCAATATCCACAAAAAATTTAAATAAAAAAAATCAAATGATAACAATATTCAATTACGACAAAAAGGATAGCTTTGGGACAACAAATATATTTTTTATATGCAGAATATTACAATTTTGTTTTGTAAAGATTTGTGCGAAAGCTTGATCAGAGTATTTTTAAAGAGAAAAATTCTTGATACTGGTTTGGAAATGTTTCGTAGAGAAGAGAAAGAACAAACTCATGTCTGATATTTATAATTAATGTAATCACGTGACAGGATCCTGGAAAAAAAGAGCAGGAAAACTTGATTTGGTCACGCGCTGGAAAAAGACTTGTACGTGGGTGGATTGTAACGCCCACTTGTGTGTTTATTGACCAATTAGAAGCTGAGATTTCCTGAAAATATGTATGAAGCTGGATAAGCTCTTTGGTTCACTTTTTGCACAGATTTGTACAAAATTCAACATTGATAAGAAAGTGGTATCGGTATGCTAAAGATATAATCAACAGTTTATGAATACAATCTTTTATTCTAGAGTTTTTTTTCTTTTATAAAACTTAACAGAATATTGATTGCTCGATTGATTTATTTTTTACGGCCTATCAACCTTTTATTCATTAAGAAGAAAGATAATTGTAATAATTTTTTAAAATAATGATTTTTACTGAAAACAAGTTCTACCATTGGTGTGGGAAGAGGGTATTCATCATTTGCCCTGGGGTACTTATGCGTACAAAGCATATAACGAATCCGACTGTAACTGGACTCTCTGATTTCCGTTATCGTTTACATCACCTACACAACCAAGCTTAGAGCAGATGGTATTCCCAAGCGGTCACCCATCTAAGTACTGACCAGGCTTGACGTTGCTTAACTTCGATGATCGTACCAGAAACGGTGTTTCAACTTGTTATGGCCGTAAGCCTTCATTTTTACTATAATAGTATAAAATAATTTATTAAAAATAAGTAAATTACACTACTGAAAACTATAAGAAAGTAATATAAAATAATTAAAAAGTGAATATAAAATAATAAAAAATAACAATAAACTAATTTTGTTTATTGCTCTCATAAAAATTTATATAAAAAATAAATGATTTTTAAAATGTTATGATTAAAGGAAAATTTCGTGGTTGACGTGGAAATTAATAATGTGTCTGTGAATGACAAATCTCAGTTCATAAGTTATAATGAAATCACTTGAATAAAGTGGGTTGGGACTGGTAAGTAAAAATCCAAGATGGGAGCGTGCTGAATGAAAAAGATGCCAAACAAGGCATTGCCGTTAAGTAAATAGAGAAACAAATCAAAGTGCTGTGTTGCTAGGTAGAATTCAATATGGTGATGAAAAAGAGCACCAGAATGTGGCGTGGCTGCTAAGTAGCTAACATGACAGCATTAGCCATCATAAATAGTGTTTCTTCAAATGAATGTTTTTAAACATTCATTTGAAGAAACACTATTTAACATGCAAAAACAATGCATAAATTAACGAAGCAACAAGAACGAATTTAAATAAAGCACTGGGTTATTTAACAGAAAGACTGGATTATTATTCAACAGCCAATCCGGAGCGAAGGCAAAGAAAAGGAAATCGGATTTATTGCATCTTCCCGAAAGAGAATGTAAGCTGAGAAAAGAAGGAAAGGCAGTATCTGAGTCTTTCCAAGAAGGAAAAGGTGAAAAGAAAGCGAAAACAAGAAAAACAGGAGAGAGAACTGCTTCACCGTTTAGTCAGTTCTACATCTTTCAGGCAACTCTTCCAGTCAGGAAGGGATCTGTATTGTAATGGCAGGATCAGACGTAATCGGGGGCGGGGAGGATCAAGAAATCTCTGAGTATATATATATATTGTTGTTACAGTCACTTAACTTGGTTTATCTTCCTTATTTCTTTACTTAATAAATTAAGTAGATGGATAGAAAGGATTTTTCTTTAAGCAAAGGTTCCTAACAGTATTATTCCGAAACTGTTCATCAATGTATTGAGTATACATGATTTTCGAAACATTGGAGTTTTGTTAGAATTCAGAAACACTGGTTCATAGAGGTGCATAACAAAGCCATTGTCAGTCAAGGGAGCTAATTCACCGATGGATGCGACACTCTCTTCTGGCTTCTTGCCTCCCAGTCTACTTTTATCTTCAAAAATTTAAATGTCATGTCAATCGTTATATTCTGTCTTCTTAATTCCTATTCTTTTATTTTCTCGCTCCTTAAGATAATAGTATTTTTCTCATATTCTCCAATACTATGAGCACTTCGACGTGATGTAATGGTTAGCAAATTTGTCTCGCTTGATCAATTACAACTGTGTGCTCCCAACTTTCGGCTTTGTGCCACGTCTAAGCAATGTTTAGAAAATTACCATATTCTCAAACACTCAGTAACTGAATCTTAGTGGTTTTATTGTCTTACTTGGGGTGAAATGATAAAATACCTTGCTTTTTTTAAGAGAAGTGTTTAAAAATAATTAAAAGGACAGACGCTTAGTAAAAAAAATAACTAATAAATTTGATGATGTGGAACGTTGTTCTTAAAAAAAACACCAATAAAGTCGCTCAAAGGCGGGCGGTTTGTAACTTTTAGGATCTGATTTTCAAATTTCAAAAAGGGATACACTTTTGGGTTATTTGATACATGAGGAAGGTAATGTTCGCCTTCGAAAATTTACCACTTGGGACTCGTGTCTGGAGCTTAATTGAGGCCTACATAATGGTGTAATGGTTAGCAAACTTGTCTCGCTAGAACAATTATGACTGAAAAGTGAGTTCGATCCTCACTAGATACCCCATACTTTCGGCCTTGTGCCACATCTAAGAAAGTAACCAGTCGAAAGGCACAAGAGAAGGATTTCAGAAGGAATTTGGTCCGACGCCAGTGGACTGTTTCTTATGAAAGAAAGAAGAAGCAAAAGATGCAGAAGCTAAAAGAAACCGGAAAAGTGAAAAATTCCTGAAATTAATTATCGAATTGCCGGCCCGGATAAAATAAACACAAAGGTTATATTGCAGCTGGATATAAAATAGTGTTTTAGAACTAAGAATATATTATATTTGACGTAGTCAGCGTAGTAGTTGTGACAGCCGTGTAGGCAACATAGATTCTGTGGTCTGTGACTGTTGTTTTCACTGGGTGCACTTGAATTGTATTGGCAAGAGAACCATGCCCAAAGGCAAGTTTCGGATTTGCAGAAACTGTTATGCCTGAAGTGCTTAAAATATTCGGAGACTTTTATATTTCTTTTAATAATTGATGATGAAAAAATGATTTTAACTTGTGTTTTAACAATTGATGATGGTGTCGCGGCCGCCTTCGGCCGCCCCCTAAAACGGAAGAGAACAGAACATTTCAACCTTGACCTTTCGATCGTGTTCCCTACACGCTGGTAATTTCGTTTTAGAGATGAGCTAATTACTTTTTAGTTCATTGGTATCACGAACCTAGTCGAACCTCTAAGCATTTTTAGACCTTAGTTTTTGCGTAGCAAATCTCAACTCATTTTTTAGAGAGATATTATAGCATTTTAGCGAGACCATTTCTGTTGTTAGTCTCCCTTAGCATAGCACAGCGACTTCTCGCCGAATTCCTGGTCGGCGCCTGAACGGCCGGTACGCAGGCTCCTGGCCTTCGTGGCCAGGATGTCGACCAGGGCTGCGTATTAATTTACGTTCCCATTTTTTTGTCTGCCAACTGGAAGTGAGTTGGATCTACCTTTCTTTCTCTCTTTACTTCATCTCTTTACTTCTGGCTCCTTGCCCATGTTCGACTCTCGGCCTTCCGTCCCTACTGGCTGCCCGTACGTCGTCCGTAACCTTTCCCGTACACTACGGATATGATTTATTACGGGAGGTTTCGATATCGGACTCGACCAGCAGACACACAACGCCAGCACCGGATATTCGATATGCCCAACAGCATAGAAACGCCAGCTCCTCGTTCCTTCCCAACTCGTCCAGTTGGAAACCAGACCAGCCGACCAGCAGCGATCATCTGCGACGACCAACCAACCTTCCCCGGTTGTAATTACTACGGGAGGTTTCGACACCGACCTCGACCAACAATGCCTGCACTGCAACGTCTAGCCGTCGACACGACAAGAACGTCTGCACCTCGACTCCAACCGTTGACACGACCGGAACGTCTGCATCTCGACGCCAACCGTCGACACGACCGGAACGTCTGCATCTCGACTCCAACCTTCGACACAACCGGAACGTCTGCATCTCGATTCCAACCGTCGACATGACCGGAACGTCTGCATCTCGACTCCAACCGTCGACACGACCGGAACGTCTGCATCTCGACTCCAACCGTCGACACGACAAGAACGTCTGCATCTCGACTCCAACCGTCGACACGGCCGGAACGTCTGCATCTCGACTCCAACCGTCGACACGACAAGAACGTCTGCATCTCGACTCCAACCTTCAACACGACCGGAACGTCTGCATCTCGACTCCCACCGTCGACACGACAAGAACATCTGCATCTCGACTCCAACCGTCGACACGACCGGAACGTCTGCATCTCGACTCCAACCGTCGACACGACAAGAACGTCTGCATCTCGACTCCAACCTTCGACACGACCGGAACGTCTGCATCTCGACTCCAACCGTCGACACGGCCGGAACGTCTGCATCTCAACTCCAACCGACGACACGACCAATCCAAACTCTCGACACGACCAGTCCGACCACTAATACCACGATTGGCAGACCAATATACCCGACTGTCTTTTCTTTATAGAATAAACTTAGCATTAATCATACATATCTTCGTTCTGTTGTCCATTTTGCTTCACCTTGTCAGATTTAACGTCTTCGATACGGACAACGTTAGCGGGTCTCTTGTGACCTCATCGCATACGATACGGGGGGCCCTCGGGCCGCAATTTCATACCCCCCTTCAGGGGGTCCGCCACAATGGAAAAAATTTTAACTTGTGTTAACAGTTGATGAAAGCAAATAAACTTTTGTGTTAAATCTGTATGTTATCTTTCACATTACCTGGCTTCATAATAATAAAAAATATTTGCTGGTAAACTAACCGGGGGGTCTATTTTGCAGAGACCCGTAAAATAAGCTTAAAAGCATGTTTGTCTATTTTACCGGGATCGGCAAAACAGCCTTTACTTTAAAAAAGAACAAATTTGTTAAAGCTCCAGCGACTCCGATGACATCCAATCTTTTCAGTTATGACTTTCAAATAAGTAAATACATCTTTTTTTTCGAAATTCCAACGTATATCGCCTAAAGGCCGAAGCGTACAACAACCGAAACATCTTGAATGTGACAATAAAGATGATGACAACAGTCCAAACAATGCAAATAGTGTAAATAGTTACAATACCAGATCTCAGAAATAGTAAATTACACGTGAACTCTTGTCCTCATCTTTATTGTTATTATCACAACGTTTCAGCCGTTTTGCTCTCCCGCCCTCATCAGGTATATAAAGAGAAGTCACATGACAATATCCTAGTGGATTTGGCTCGTTGGTTCGTGAATTTGGTGACAAAGTAATTGTGAATTCAATCCCTGGTCCGGGTAGTGTTTAAAAGAAGAACAAAATAGCCAAAGTCTCGGCGACTCAGTGGAAAAAGGTCGAACAATAACTGAGCAGTACTAAAAAAAAAAAAGAACTAGATGAGATATCCCTAGACATGGACATGGAGAACGAGGATAGTATGTTAATTAAATAAAGGCTTCAATCGGAATCCCCTGTAGATTACTTATATCAATATACATCTGATGAAGACCGGAGTACACAACGGCCGAAACGTTGTGTTGACAACAGCAAAATATGACGAGTGTGTGTCCCTTAAGCAAATCTTTATTCTTCTAAAGCGTGGATGTACATTATAACGTCATTAAGAAGTGATATGGGGTGATGTGTATCCGTGTGTATGTCCATTTT